CATCCCGCCATCCCGCCGCCCCCGCCCGCCTCTCCAGAATTCCTCAGTCCTCATAATGGTCGGGGGCGGACTTCTTCAGCTCGGCAGCCATGGACGACAGTCCTGACCGACACAGAGAGAGAGAGAGATTGTTTTGTGTCGCATTCGTGTGGCGATCCTTTCTGCCTGTCTGTCTGTCTCACCTTCGTGTGACGGCGACCTGCCCATCCCCACGAGCCCCCTGGCCAGCGGTGCGGGCATCTCGGGGTTGCTGCGGGGCGAGAGGAAGCCCGACGCCTGCAGTGGGGGCGACAGCAACGTGCTGCTGCCCCCATCCGGCGTCAGGCGCGGCGAGGCGAAGGGCGACGACGTCATGGCATTGGCACTCGGCGAGTTCAGGTACATGCCGCCGACGCTCTGGGGGGACGTGCCGCGATTCCTGCTGAGGTGAGCCTGGAGGGCCTCGAGCAGGTAGCCCTTGTCGACCGACCCCGAGCCAACGGTGCTGGGGGGCGACCCGGGCGTCAGCGGCTGCTGGTCCGCCGCAGCCGTGGTGGCATTCGGTGAGGTGCCGGGGATGATGAGGAAGGGCACATGGATGGGCGACGGGCGCGGCGAGGCCGCCGGGGGCAGGTTGATGTCTGTGGGGAGGCCGAAGCCGCCCGATCGCTGCAGCGAGTAGTAGTTGATGCCCTCGTGCAGATAGCCCGCCATGAGCTCCTCCCGAGTCGGCGGGGCCGAGTAGGTCGACGTGGGCGAGAGCAGGTCGATCGGGTTGGGCGCCTGCTGCGGCGGCTGGCTGAAGGTGGGGCTGAGGGGCACCTGGGCGGCGGATGTGGGCGACAGCATGGGCAGAGGCAGAGAGGGGTCGGACCCCACCCAGAGGTGACGCCCGGCCGCCTGTGCGGGGGGCGTGAGGACGGTGTCGCGGTCGACGGGGGGTGAGTGCACGTTGACCACGGGCGACTTGGGAGGGACGATCTCGATCCTGGGCGGCTGGGGGGGCGACTGGATTGGGGATGCCGGGTCGCTGGGGGTCTTCCCCTCCTCTGGAATGGTGTCGGGGCCTGTGGGGGACGTCAGCTGATCACGGGGGATCTTGGTGCGGAACGGACTGCACACACACGGAAAGGCTTGGATGTCTGTGCGAGAGTGTTTTCTCGTTCATGTCTGTCTGTGTTACCGGATGCGCGGTCTGAGTTCGTCGACAGAGTGTGCGTGGCGGCATCTGGAGCCGTTGGGGCAACGGCCCCGCTTGTGGAAGATGCACAGCGCTGTCTTGAAAAAATCAGGTGTCGCACGCAACTCCTGACCACACACACACACACACACATGAGAGGGAGGCCGGCACAGTGAGAGCCATGCTTGGCGTGAGTGTCTGTGTCTGTGTGTGACACCTGCCTGACCTTGTGTCCGTGGGCGAATCTGCATGGGGCTCCCTTCTCACACTTGCCCGTCTTGATGAACTCGGCACACAGCTTCGTCTTGCTCACTGCACAGCAATGAGCGCAATGGACACGCAGACAGAGAGAGACACATACACGAGTGGCGGTGCGGGGGAAGGCTCCAGTGTCTGGCTGTGTGTGTCTGTGCGTGAGAGCCTTGGCTTACAATCGGGAGCAGACCGCAGCTCGTTGGTGTGCGCAAAACGGCAAAACTCTCCACGCTCACAGCGGTTCTCCAACCAAAATCTGACGCCACCCAACACACCCAACACACACAACACACCACATAACATAACAGTCAGTCCAGCACACCGTCCCACCCTCCCTCGTGTGTATGTGTCGCCTCCCTCCTCCCGTACTTGCAGGGCTTGGTCTTGTAGTACTGGTCACTGTCGTCGACCTCGACAGACGATGTGGGCGACATGGGACTGGCCGAGAGTGTGGGAGAGGTGGAAGCGTCCTGGTGCGGCTGCAGGCCGGGCACAGGCATCACCTTGCCCGAGAAGGGTGGAGGTGGTGGGTGGGAGGGCTTCTGCGAGCGAAGCATGTCGAGAGTGGCGTTGAGGCTGATCTTGGGGCTGTTGTGGGGCATCATGATGGTCTCCACGGCGCCTGTGCTCATAGTACGGCGACAGGGATCACACTCTTGCCACGACGCGTGACAGAACGGAACTGGAGGAACGGATCCTTTTCTCCTGGTGGCTGTTGAAGGACGAGAGGCTCGGTGTGGCCACAGGGACGTCGAGGCTGCGTGTTGGGGGTGGAGGGAGGGGTGATCTCTGCCTTTCTTGTGTGTGATGACGTCCTTCGAAGTAGGTTTTACGGGGAGCTCCCCTTCTTCTCCGGAAGGGGAGGGAGGGAGGAAAGCCGAGAAGGAGAAAAGGATTGGAACGGGGAGAGAGGGAGGAGGGGAACACTCGGAAGCTCTAGGAATGCCTCTGTGTGTGTGTGGTGATGTCAGGTTCAGGCGAAGCAGCGTCAGATTCTGTGCTGTCTGCGCGAGAACGGAGGGAGGGAGGGGGGATTTCAAAGAGACCACAGGCCGATTTCCGCACCATGCACACACTTGTGCTTGCTTATGTGCTGTGACTCGATACTGACGAGTGAGAAAGGATAAGTACTCACGGTTTGACTCAAAAACATGAGGAGAGTCACAATCAACGTAAGTACCAGAGAGCTGTCACCACACAATGTTTGCACAGAACAAAACCGCCATCCATTCGTCCATCCATTCCCTCCCTCCCTCCCTGCTCACGTCCCGTCCAGCACCACCACATTATTCTGCCTTCTTTCCCCTTGCTCCTTCCTCTTTGCCGACGCCTCCTTCATCGCACGAAACATCTCGGCCTCAAGGTCCTCCATCGACCCACCCATACCCACACCCACACCCACACCCACCCCTCCCAACCCGCCACTACCACCAGCAGCAGCAGCTGGTGCTGGTGCTGGTGTTGGTGTTGGTGTCCCTCCCGAGTGGTGTGTCGGTCTCTTCGGCACACTGCGTGCGCTCTGGGAGCTGGCGGCGGCGTCGACTGCAGAAGACGGCGCCCCCTCCTTCTCCCTCTCTCTCTCCTTCTCTTCCCTGGCCTTGTCGAGCTTGACTCGGAAGGGGTAATTCTTCTTGTGCTGGGAGAGGTAGAGGGCGCAGCTGACGGCGCTCTCGCGCGACGAGAGGGTGGCGGTGGCCGTGCGGGAGGCGGGGAGGACGACCAGCGACGCCACGCTGTAGGCCGCGAGGGCGTTCATCAGCACGTCGCGGATCTTGGCCTCAGACTGGCCCGACAGGGAGCTGTCTTCGCTCCAGCTGATGCGCAGCCGACACGCGCTCAGGTCTGCCGACACGAAACCGCCAGTGCTGCTCCTGGACTGCTCCGGTCGGCGGGATGGCGTGGCCGACGCGTCAGCTCTGTGCTGCGTCATTCTGGCGATGTTCTCCTTCCTCAGCCGCTTCACTTCGTGTTCGGGCGAGCCCACCGAGTGGTCCCTGTGGTGGTCATGCCGACTCCCCGACGCGGCCGACTCCCTGGCCTCCAAATCCTCCCTGAGTTTCCGCTTCTCCTTGCCCTGCTTCTCGTAGCGCTTCCGCTGCTCAATCTGCGCCTTCAAGTGGCGGTCGTACTTAGCCCGCTTGACGGGGTCCAGGAGGAACTCGAGAGTCTTCTGCAGCCGCTGGAACTTGTCAGCGGCGTCAGGGTCATCTGGGTTCTTATCTGGGTGGCAGGCCAGGGCCTTCTTCTTGTAAGCCGACTGGATGGTCTTGTCCGTGGCCGTCGGCTCCACACCCATGTGGGCGTACGGATCCTTGACGCCATCGGGAAGCTCCTCCACCATCGCGCTGAGCGTAAGTAAGGCTGCAGATGAGTACCAAGTAGATGAGCTTCAGAGCCGCCTGTGCTGCTTCGACAGAACGGTGGGAACAGAACACAGAATGCGATGTCTTGAAACTTCGGCAACTGCAAGAGGAAGCTACATACGCCTCAGGTGGGGCGGGAGAGGGCGTCGTCAGGAGGGAACGACGGTGCGAGCATAAACGAAAAGCTCGCATGTGAGGAGGAGAAACGAAAAAGACGACGAGCATCATGATGGCGAGTGCTGGAAGAGGCGATGTGCCCACAAGAACCGCTGTCAGCTTCAAGCTCACGTCAGCAAGGACTTCGGCAAGCAGACGGCCGAACGACGCATCCGAATGGCCCTTCGACGGTGGTCAGGATGACACGCGCATGCGCAAGCCCGACAGGAAACCTCCCAGCCAGCCACAAGCTGCGGCCGCTGCGATGGATCTGGTGAGGGCGCCGGCGCGCTTGCTGAAGGACCAGGAGACCCTCGGCGCCCAGCTGAGAGAGCAGGGCAACATCTTCGCTGCCAATGATGACTTCCTGTCGGCCCTGCTGTCCTGGGAGAAGGCCATCACCATCTCTCCCCGTGCCGCCCTCTACGAGCAGTGCGCGCAAGCCCTTCTGAGGCTCGATGAGCCGTTCAGAGCCATCAAGGCCGCCAAGAGGGCCATTGTGATGGACGCGCAATGGCAGCCGGGGTATTTGACTCTCGGAAGGGCTTTGCTGGACTTCGGCGAGGTGGACAGCGCCGTGAGTGCGCTTGAGAAGTGTGTGGGGATGGAGCCTGACGACGACGAGGCGGCTGAGGAGCTGGAGAGGGCTTTCAGAATACGAGATCAGGCCAGGACCACAAACGACAGGGGCAGAGGGGTGAGCGAGGCACACACGGGGATGAGAGGGAGAGAGGCGTCATGGTGTCATACGTGGTGTTTGTCTGCACGTGTGTATTAACCAGGTGATGGTCAACAATCGTCAGTTCGGCCACCTTCCCTTCTGGGAGACCGCTCAGCCCGTCGACCACTCGTTCGACACCGACATCGTTCGACACGCACCACGACTCACACGCCTGGGCATCCTCAGCACCACTGCCACAAGCCAGCCATCCTCGTCATCGCCCCAGCCCCTCCCCCCCTCTGGTCACCACACCTCGGCCGACAATCGCGGAGAGCCGTCCTCCAGACGGCAAACCAATGTAGAGACCAATGAAGTTCAGCCATCCGCGGGCCCGGAGCACACTGACTGGTTCGGCGATACTATGAAAGGCGGCGAACCGGAGAAGCGGCGTGAGGCGTTCGCGTGGGGTCTGGGGGGCGAAGAGGACGAGAGGCAGCAGGCGGCTTGGCGGCACAGGGGGAAGGCTAAGGGCAAGGGCGGCAAGAAGGCGTCGCGGCTGAGCGACGAGGCGTATGAGGAGATGGAGCGGATCGGCCGTCAGCAGGATGAGTATGACCGGCTGGAGCGGTGGGACGAAGACGATGAAGACATGGAGAGGGAGAGGGATCCCCCCACTATGATGAGTGAGGATGAAGCAGACTCATGATGAGCCTTGCATTGCATTGCGGTGCTTAAGAAAACAGACGGCTGCATGAGGGTGTGGTGTCTTTTTGTTGTGCGTGTGTGACGACATGTCCGTCCGTGTGGATGAAATGAGATGTGTGAGATGTGTGAGATGTGATGGATCGGACAGATCCACATTGATTGCAATGAATGAATTGGTGAGCGGTATGTGCCTTGCTATGCATTAAGCGTCACAATTCGACGCAAATGAGATTCTCGCCACCATCCTGCGCGAAACGCTGCTGCGAGCTTAGAAATCGTGCAGGCAATTCCAAGATCCGAGGGTGCCGCCTCTTCGTCGTCGCAGCCGATCATCCAGGTAGGGCAGCGGCGAAGAAAGAAGGCAAAATACACACAGATCTCCCAGACCGTTGCCTTGCCTATCTGCATGTCCCGTATTCAGGTGCCTCATCCACCGATGGCGAGTAGCCGCGCCCGTTCGTCTGCATCAGTCAAGCTGGAGCGCGTCAAGCAGGAGGAAGAGATGGATGACGCCGTCGCCAATGGGCCAGCCCTCGATGGGCACCATGGTGGCCTCATGAGCGGACGGGGCGGTGGCGGTGCGTCGGGCAATGGCGCACAGGGCTCGGGAGAGGGGGAGGGAGAGGCGGGGCCAGCCCTCGGACAAAGTGAGTGAAAGGGTGGGTGGGGAACGAGATGGCCTTGTGTGGGACGCCTGTGTTGTGGATGTGTCAGGCATGGGTGGTGGCATGGATGACGGAGATGAGATGGGTGCGGCGCCGGTCGGCGGTGGTCGTGCTGCGGCGCGGGTGGCCGAGCAGAAGAATGCCGAGATAGCCAAGAAGGGTCGCAAGAGGGCACACAAGGACGACAGTGAGGAAGATGGTGACGATGACGACGACGATTATGAAGACGACGACATCTCATCCAGCGAGGAGGGTGACGACAGTGACGCAGAGGTAACATGACCAACAGTCACTTGTGGCATGATAACCCGATCGACACGCTGTGTGTGTTATGTGTGTGCTTCTTCCAGGCCGCGGATCGCTCCCCGTCGCCTCCACGCAGCCGCCACAGCGACCTACGTAGCGCACAGCACCAGCTGACTACTCAACTGAATGTGTCTGTCTGTCTGTCTGTCTGTTTGTATCAGAGAAGTCGATGAGGGAGTTCTTGCGCAAGCTGAGGGACAGGTTTGGCCCGCGCCACACACTGGGCATCCAGTTCCGGAGGCGCCAGGGCGTCCAATCGCCGGCCCTCCACGTCCGACTGACGGCGCGTGGTGCGGGGCCCAACAAGTGGGTGGTCAACAAGTACTTCGGCCTGAAGGAGTACAAGACCATCCGTGCGCTGTTCAAGGCGGCTATCATTTACCGCAAAAACGAGCTCCCCAAGCACAAGGACAAGAACTCCAATCGCTGCATCCGTCGCATCACCGGGTGGGAGCAGCTGCTGGCAGACCACCAGTTCCCGGTGAGGGGAGGCAGGGAGGGGAGGAGAAGGCGTGAGCATACCTGCCTATCTCCTCTGTTTGTGTCAGGACGACCCACCGGCAGCAGCAGCAGCAGCAGCAGCGGCCGATGCACAGCAATACAAGGACGACAATGAGGACAATGAGGACAATGACGATCATGAGGACGACGACATCTCATCTGGCGAGGAGAACGACGGCAAAGACGCAGAGGTAACATGACCAAGAGTAACTCATGCCGTGGTCAGTCAATCGACGCGCTTTGTGTGCGGTGTGTGTGTGCTTCTTCCAGGCCGCGGATCGCTCCCCGTCGCCTCCACGCAGCCGCCACAGCGAGCTAGGTGGCGCACAGCCCCAACTGACTCACTCAACTAAATCTGTCTGTCTGTCTGTCTGTTTGTATCAGAGAAGTCAATGTGGGAGTTCTTCGACAAGCTGAAGGACAAGTTTTGCTCACTGGGCATCCACTTCCGGAGGAGCCGGGGCGTCCAATCGCCGGCCCTCCACGTCCGACTGACGGCGCGTGGTGGGGGGCCCAACCAGTGGGTGGTCAACAAGCGCTTCGGCCTGAAGGAGTACAAGACCGCCCGTTCCCTGTTCAGGAAGGCCATCAACTACCGCAACAGCGAGCTCCCCAAGCACAAGGAGAAGAAGTCTGATCGCCTCATCCCTCGCATCACCGGCTGGGAGCAGCTGCTGGCAGACCACCAGTTCCCGGTGAGGGGAGGCAGGGAGGGAAGGAGAAGGCGTGAACATACCTGCCTATCTCCTCTGTTTGTGTCAGGACGACCCACCGGCAGCAGCAGCAGCAGCAGCAGTGGCCGATGCACCTCCCTCCCCCTCTCCATCCTCCTCCCGCTCCCCATCACCACCATCTCGTCGCGGCAAGAAGAAGCAGAAGCGGCAGGCGCGTGACGACAACTACAAGGGCAAGAAACGGGCCAACAAACGCCGCCGGACGGGTACAAAACCCACCACCAGACGACATGAAGTCCATCGTTCCATGGCATCTCTGTGCCTTCTTTCGATTAGGGTCGAGTGTGGGTTCCCAGGACGAGCAGATGCCCCCCGCACCCCCTCCCCCTCCCCCAATTTGCTCAGACGGCCATCGTGAGCAGAGTGCTGGTGGCGGCAACGCCGTCAAACAGGAGGGCGACGGGGGGCGGGGCTCGGCTGCTGCTGACGACCACGACGGCAACAGGGAGGCTGCACAGGGGGAGGGCCAATACAACGATGGTCTGGGCGGACACGGTGATGCTTCCGGAGTTGGTGGCAGTGGCAACAGGGACGGGATGGCGGCTGGGGCGGCGGCCAACGGCCCGCCAGAACGTGTGGTGATCGATCTGGAAGCGGACGACGATAATAACGACAGACAGGAGGCCAATCAGCCACAGGGTAAGGGGGGAGGGACTGCAGCCACACATGGTGTCTGGAGTCAATGTGTGTATGTCAAAATGTGTGTGTGATTGGCAGGCGGTTTCGCCCCTGCTGCTGCTGCTGCTGCCGCTGCGGCTGCTGGTGCTGCTGCTGGCCGTAGGGCGCGTCAAGGAGGAGAAATGTCGGTGGACACAAATGGACGACGACAGACACAGAGCGAGCCCCCTTCACCGTCACTTCCTCCCTCTATGTGCGTGTGTGGCTCGAGACAGGCAATGTGCGTATGCACAAGACGGTGAAGCTCTCCAAACTGACTACCGACGACATCGTGGCCATCTTCACGCACAACGAGCAGCTGCAGGACCTGGTTGACCTGGTCAAGAAGGTACAGACCACAAACATGACATGCAGCAAGCCTCTCTCTTACTCGCTGTGTCTGTGTCGCTGTGTGTGTGTGTGTGTGTGTGCAGGCACGGCTCAAGGGCAACACGTTTGCACGATGCCTCAACTTGACGGTCAAGAGGGCGCACCAGGAGGTGTTCAGTGAGCCATTCGGGGTGGGCGACGTCACGTCGATCCTCGACTGGCTCGAGGAGATCAATCCCAATGAGGTAGGTATACCAGACACCAGACACAGCTGGCTGCATGCGCGTCTTGCATGCAGGTACAGGTGCCCATCTGATTGATGCGGATATTACTCAGCAATCCGGTAGAATCAGTCGGGTAAGAATGACACCCACATGCACCACGGGCATGTGGTGGTCGCCATCGTCCGATGCCCCTCTGTGTGTGTGCGTGTAGGTTGTGTTGGATGGGGAGCAACGTAGCGTTTTTCGGTCCGATTTTCCTTTTGTCGCCGCCCATTCACAGCTTAGCCGTCTTTAATGTCATTGCACCCACGCTCACTCATCTCGTTTTTGCCTGCCGATTCACTCATTCCACGTGCCGCCTGCCGGCATACACACATTACTACGTACATACATACATACAGACATGCAGTGCGGGTCGGGCGAGAGTGAGTGATGGGGACGCTCTCATGTGCGATGTGTGCATGGTGAATGGCGGTGCGTCCACAGGGCGAGTTCAATGGACACGTGCAGCCCTGCGATGTGTGCTGTTTGGGCTTTCTTCCTTTCGCTGCATATGTAAGGCACGTGTGACACGGCCAGTTTGCGATTGAGACTTCCTGCGATTGCGTGTGTGTGGCTTTGATGTCATGTGTGTCGTTGCCTCTCTCTATTGCAGTTCTCGAGAGGGGGTGGCGTCATGCTGATGCGTCAATATATATGTGTGTTATACATATATACGTATTTGTATACATACATCCGTATACATACATACATATACGTACAAACACACATACATACATACACGTACGTACACGTACGTACACATGCATATGTATACTGACTGTATGTGTATACGCATGTCCACTACGTACTATTTATCCATTCGTCTGCTCGATCACATGCTATTGATGCTCAATATCGATATTGATTGAGTGTGTCGTGTGTGTTGCTCCGACTGGTACATGATGCATGTGTGCGTGAGGGAGGCGTCGTTTGGGTGTGTGTGATGGGTAGATAGGGCACTCAGTCACTCGCTGTGTCCATGTATGGAGGCGCTGTCTTTTCTGCCACAGTGGGTTGGGGCAACGAGAGTGCCCCAACCCACAAGCACTTTTGTTGAGTGTGCTGAGCTTCCTCAATGCACGACGGTTGTGCCTTTATGCGAACAGTGCACATGAGAATGGCGAGATTTGTGTGCGCATGCAGTGCGCGTGGACTATCTGTGCCATTGAATGCACTGCATCATTCATATGCATATTCACAGTAGGAATTGCACACAGACAGACACCTGACAGACACCGCAAGTGAGTCCGGTGTTTCACGCATCGGTGCAACGCGGGATTTGACAGCTGCCCGAATTGCACTGCATCGAATGAAGCCTGTGGAAGGCCTCAAACCCTTCCAAATGCGACGCTTTGTCAGTGAGAAAGGAGCGATCGAGTGAGGATCGAATTGCCGTCGTTTGCGAAGCTGACACATTTATTTTGCCAATTTATGATATCAATGCTTCATGGATACACCCCCAGACGTCTGAGAAGAGAAACAAGCTGGGACTAACCACACAGGAGGGAAAGTTCGCCTCAGGGATTCAAGCTCGCAGGTGAACGGGGGAGGAAAGGGGAAAAAAGGGAGAGAGGTGCGCAGACCTTGTGTGTTATCGACGAAGGGAACCACTGACATTGACGCCCATCCCCGTTTACCTACCAACAGCAATCCAGTTTCAGCAGCCATCGGCTCGTATGGGCGGTGACAAGGGCGGTGAGCAGAGCCCCCCTGACGGCATGACCCCACCGACGACGCTGGCAAGGCGACTGCACATCTACGGCAGCTGCTGCCTTCACAGCCTCTGCTGCTCGGGGATATTTCACGGATGGAGCGGGATGAAATTGATCATCGAGCGGGAGGGACTCTTTCGACATCTGTGCTCGCCTGCTGATGGACTGATGTGCGAGGCCCGGTCAGCAAAGCTCGTCAGCATCTACTCGACTGCCTTTGGGTTCTCTACTGCTGGCTATGTTGTGGGAGCAGCCTTGATGGACGTGGCTGGGCCACGGTGGACGAACGTCGTCTCGCTCAGCATGTCGGCTTTGGCACTGTTGGTGCTCTCGTCGAACATCACTTCGTCGTCCTCCTGGCCGCCTGTTTCTTTTGGGCCGCTGTCGATCGACTGGTTCAGTGTGGCTTATTCGCTTCTCTCTCTCAGCGGCACAATGGCTCAGACGTCGTCGGTGCACTCGTCCAATGTGCTGCCGCCTATCTGGAGGCGGCTGGCGGTCACGAGCTTCTCGGCTCTTTTTGCAATCGGCTCCCTGGTGAGATTGAGGATGAGAATGGACTGGATAGCACGTATCTTTGCTTTCCTTGCCGTCAGGTCTTTGTGATGATGAACATTATCAGTGGGTCGCTTGGCGTGCCGCCATCTTTGCTGCTGCGTGTATGGATGTGCGTCGAGGCGCTCCTGGCCGTCAACGCCGCTGTGGTAATGCCCGACCGACCCTGTCAGGCTCTTGGTGCGAGCAAGAAGGAGAGAGACGAGGCGGAGAAGAAGATACCGTACAGGCAGCTGCTGGGGAGTCACCACTTTTGGTTCATGGCCGTCTTCCCCGCCTGTGGCCTCACCACCTGTGTCTTCTGGCTGTCGACCTATCAAGTGAGAATTGGCAGAAGGCCCCACATGCCAGGCAAGTGCATCGTGGCTCGACTTGCTGGCTCTCTGCAGGACTGGCTTGTGGAGTTGGGAGACCTTGATCGACGGCTGTCGACCAGCTCTGGGCTGATCATTCCCGCGGGCCCATTTCTGAATCCACTTTTTGGGTTGCTTTTAGTGAGAATGGGGCTGAAGACCGGCCTCGTCGTGTTGAATTGTGGGATTGCACTGCTGCTGCTCCTGTCGAGAACGCGGTCTCTCGCCCTCCAGTGGGTTTCTGTCGGCGTCTATGCCGGTATGCAGCGGGCAGACACGCACATTGTGTCATAGTACCAGGCGCACATGGTGATCGGAGTGCGGTGTCAAGTATGTGTGTGTGTGTGTGTGTGTTGTGCAGTGTGTCGTCCGTGTGTTGGGTCGATGACCTATGCCATGGTGGCGGCGCTCTTCGGTCTGCCGTCCTTCTCGCGTGTGTTTGGTACATCGTCCTTTATTGTGGGGGTCGTCTCGTCACTTGTGGCCCCGCAATTGAGGCATCTGGCCGCTGCCACATCTCTCCCTGTCAGTCAGCGCACGCACAGAGAGAGAACACAAGAAACGACGATCTCACCATGTCATGCTTGCCGTGTGTATGTTGTGTGCAGCATGTCTATGGCTGTCTATTGTTCGCGTCACTGTTGCTGTACATACCGCTTTTGCTTCCACTGGATGGTCCACGCCCGAGTGAGCCGCATGAGGGCAAAAAGGAACGGTGAGGGCCCTCCGCTTCCATGGCAGAGGGGGATTTTTATTTTCTCGGGGAGTGTGTTGCTTTTGAGAGAGAGTGCAAGACAGTCGATGCAATGACGAAAGGGAAGGCCTGCTAAATGGAGCTTTATGGGATGTGAACGTCGTATCATTGGTTACTCTATCCACATGCACAACCCCTCTGTGAGCCCAGCCAGCATCTCGCATTCGTCAACACACACACGGCACACCTACACCATCACTATCAGAAGAAGGCTAGGTTGAGCGGCCCAGCTGCCCTTTCCCTCTCCGCTGTCAAGACCTCTAGCAGCGCCACCAGATCACGCCTGCACAGACACGCACACGCACACGCACAGACAATTGACAAGAGCCACACAGGCAGTCTCCTTGTATCTTCACTCACACCAACCTAGTTTCGGGCAGTGTGAGTAGGTTCATTGACTTGACGTTGGGCTGCATGTCGACCAGCACCAGAGGTGAGCAGCCTCGACGGAAACGGAACACGCCCTGCTCCAGCACCCTCTTCACTCGGCCGGGAACACCCACCTGCACAAAAGCCGGCCGCACAAGGTCGTCCCTTGCAATGAACGCCGTGCGTTCAGTTCGTCACCGCTACAAGCGTCTTCGGGTTGAGGATGTCATCTCGATGGCGGTCCAGCTGAGACGAAAGGAAATACCAATGTTGTTTGTGTCCATCCGAGCTCTTTGCTTGCGCTACCTGTTCCTTTTTCCGCCCGCCTCCATACGAGCACAGGAGAGCCGTCCGCACCGCATTGCCAATATCACCACCCTCTTTGCCCAGGCCATGCACCGATATCCACCTGTACACATGACAACATGTATCGCATCCATAGTTATCAGACACCCGCACTCATCCGACAGACATTTTCGCGTCACCTACTTACTGGGAGATGTCATGTGCCCGCGCGGCTGCGTGTGTGAGAACAAGCACCATCACACCAGGCCCACCGGGAGGCTGGGGTGAGGAGAGATCGATGTCTGCTGCCTCGACGCAGAGGGGGATATATGGGAGATGGCCGGAGGAGGGAGGAGGGGGGAGGGAGGAGTGGTCGAGAAAGGACACGCCAGCCACTGCAGGCACACACACACAAGTGAGAACAGGCTCAATCGAATGGGTGCGCAGGGATGGATGTGCGTGCCTTGTGTGCCTTCCCTCTCTCACGTATGTGTTGTTTGGTCTTGGCAGCCGCTTCATCGCCTGGTGCTTCTTCACTGTTGTCGGTGTGTGGCGGCCCGTCGATGCACCTGATTGGCATGGCATACGCGAATGTGACAGAGCAACGAATGAGAATGAGCCTCTGCGTTTCCCCTTGGCTGGCTGCGCAACCTACCTTTCGAGCAGCTGTTGCTGATCCTCAGGGGTCCGGCAGTCCCCAGGTGACACTGCACATACAGACAAACGCGCATTCAGACATGATTCATCGATGAGTCCGTTCACTTCACCCGTTCCTCACGTGTCCGCAGGAATGCCTTGAATCCCATTTGTGGAGGCGCCACTCCCGAGCTTGTCCTCTCGTCGGCCTCCTCCTTGCTCTTTCTCTTCTTCTTTGTCGCCTTCTTCGGCCTGGCTACGCCATCACCATGAGTGTTTGTGGCCGCGGCCGCCCTCTTCCTCTTGAGCAGCCTTGCGAGGGCAGAGATCTTTGACGACTTGTCGTCTGTGAGGCTGAAGTTCTCATCCAAACTGTCACCCATGCTTCGGTGCGCTCTTTTGATCCCCCCAGCCGCCTGAATGAGGAGAAACCCGGCTCCGCGCCAGTTTGAGACGGGGGGCCTCAAGCTCGCTCGCAGGGGCCGCATGCAGTGGCATGCATGACCTTTTCTCGAGTTGACAATTCATCATCCATGGCAGTGATGTTGGAGTTTCGTCGGTGGGATCCGCGAGAGTTTGCCGCGTCCCGCTCTCCGGCAGGCGTCGAGAGGGAGGAGGCTCAGCCCGTTCTCACTCTCCCATTGCATGACTTCTCCGGCGGTATGGACGATGGACGCATGAATACATACATGGATGTGCCAATGGATGTGTATCCTTTTCTCCTCCCTCTGTGTCAGTCACTGTTGGGCGAAGCCTGCCATTTCCTCCCAAGCAGCGTCCCGCGGGGTGCGTGGCTCTGGCGCATTGGTCTGTGAGTGTGACGCACGCCTTCATAAGGGTGCTTCCGTGGCCGGACGAGCAGGGCTTCATCGGCGAGATAATGGATCTGGCATCAGGTGATGGAGGGATGGATGGATCGAGTCGGCACATATACACGTGACACTGGTGTGGTGTCTCTGCGCCGTTGGACGCATCGTGGCAGCCAATGGGACATACGTCGATGGCTATCGCCTGGAGCCCCACAGCCCGTGGCCTCTCAAGGTAAGAGCGTAGCAGTGTGACACGACCTTGAAATGAGTCGGGAGACGTTAATGCCCTCATTCGGCAGGAGGGGAGCATCGTCCGATTCGGCGGCTGTCCCCTCATCGCATCCCTCAAAGTCGACTCTCATCCCAGCGCCCATCAGTCAGAAGTGAGTGAGAATGCTTAAGGCACAACCAACCACTGCCCCATGTCTCTCTCATGGACACATCGATCGTCCTGTGTGCAGTGTGAGTACGTTCTCACCTTCGGCAGCCCCTCGGGGTCGTTCTCCTCGACACGAAAGCGCAAACGATCCCGAGGGCTGCAGGCCATCAGGGGAGCCGCCGGGCGTGGCTGTGGGTCGCGCAGTGAGAGTGACGACAGTGGTGCTGGCGGCAGGACGATGCGGCTGAGTCAGTCGGAGAAGACGCTGGTCAGTCCCGTCCACAGAGGTCTGATGCAGCGCCGTCACAGATTCGTTGCGGCACCCGAACGGTACGTAGGTAAGCACACACATAGACACACACACGCACACACGCACACACACGAATGCCGCAAGAAGGCAAGAAATTCTCTGTTCGTTTCCTTCTCCATCCGCACGTGTGTCAGGTTCCCTCCCCTGCCGCCCACCGTGCTGTCATCTTTCTTCTCCCCGCCCCTACAGAATGCATTCCAGCCCCCACAAGAGGCAAAGGGAGACCAAGCAGGCCGGCCAGAAGAGGACGAGAAGGCCGGCATGATCGTCGACAGGAAGGACGAGATATCGGGGATACCATCCGAGTTCCTGAGACATGTGCTGCTGCAGGGCCTCTCCCACCTGACCGTTGAGCGGCACATGAAGACGCTCCCTGATGTGTTGGGCATTCACGCGCCCGCAATGGCCCTCCCTGGAGCCATGTAAGGCACATATGAGGCAAGAGGGATGGGAAAGCCGTAATGCACGGGTCGATCATCGATCATCCTCTCAGGTCGTTGAAGTGGCCTCCCCCTTCCAAGCCTGCCACAGATCGGTCGCGGCTCATAGCTACCAGGTAGGTGCCCATCCTCTACGATGTGTGTCTCATCTGCCGCCCATGTATTGGTCAGAGAGGATGCAGTAATGCTACGGCGTGTTCTGCGCTTGTGGCGGACCGCCCTCGAGAACAACGCGCCCCAAGTGCCGTCACTGCAGGAGGCCATGGATACCAATGACGCCAGTGGGGTCTCGCTTGCCGAGCTCAAGGGGGCGGCAGAGTACTTGCAGCAGTTTGAGACACTGCAGATGGGCGTTTTTGGGGTGAGTGTGCCAGAGAGAAAGCACGGCGATACAGAAAAGCGTTTTCACGTTGTCTCGACATGATTGTTCGATCAGGAGTTGAAGCGTCAGGTGACTGCCCACGATCGAGAACGCGGCCGGGTGGTTGGCGAGCTGGCACAGCTGAGCCTGAGCATCCTGCAGCAGTACGATGCCCTTCTTGACACGTCGGTGCAGTACTGCGAGTACCTGGAGAGCAGGCTCACCACCACATCCGTGCCGCCTGAAGACGACCGTACAATGCACACGCATGCGAGACTTGCGACGCACATCGGATCAATTTGTGTCTCTTTCCCAGTGTCTCCGGCGTCAGGTGCCGAGCCTCACCTCTCTGCACCCCTCCCTCCCCCCTCACCCCCACTCACACCCGTCTCACAGCAGCAGCGGCAGGAGCAACAGCAGCAGCCGCCCACACCCGGCAAGTCGGTCATGCAGTCCTCCTCCAAGGGCAAGGCCAAAGGAAAGGAGCGCCGGTCGGTGCTGTTCTCTTCGGCGATGGACGCTGCTGCTGCCGAGGGCTTTGGTGATGGGGCCGTGTCGATGTCGTTCCCCATGCCGAGTGGCGAGGAGTGGGGCTCCCTGGCTCAGCAAGATGACATGGCCAGCAGCCACAGAAGCAGCCGGAAGAGTGGCGACCTGGTCGGCCAGGCATCGGCCAAACGAAGCTTACGATTGCCTGAGCCAGACGTGAGAGGCGCCGCACCCGGACACCCACACCACACAACAACTTCTTTGTGTGTGTGCACATCTGCGTTGGCCTTCAGGAAGATTCCTTGGTCTTCACTGAGGAGCCCAGCCAGCGGTCGATCGTCGTGGGCGACGTTGGCACGTCAGTCACCGTCAGTCAGGCTGGCGAGGGAGCGGTGTTCGGCAATGACGACTTTGAGGCTCCTGAGAAGCTCAGCTTCGCCAACGTGACACAGCAGAGCACCAGACTCACCAAGAAGGTACCAAACCACGACGGCAAAAGCACATTCGTTCCCTCTCACGTGTGTGTACGTGTGTGCTGTCGTCTGGCTGTCTGCAGATGACGATGCATTTGGAGTCTGTCTCTTCGCGCATCGACACACTCATGACGGAGCTGAGCAAAGGTGGGAGGCAGGGAAGCAGACACACTGTGACAGACATAGATGGTGGGACGATGTGAGTCTGTCGCTCCCTCTGTGCTACTGCTGCTGGTGCAGCTAAGGTCTATGACGAAGACGAAGAGGAAACCGAACACGCTGAGGAGCGCGAGACACACCGAAGTGGAAAGACGCCCCCTCTGGCAGCCGATGCCGGGATGGCCGCGGCTCCGGCAGCGATCGAAAAAGCCCACTTCGACAAGTATCAGATGAGGGAGATCCTGAGGAAGAAAGGCGTGCAGCTGAGGCACCCTGGACTGCAACACGGTCGGCAGGCCACAGCTTTCCTCGGCGCTTATGTGTGGTTGTGTTGTGTCTCAGCAACGGGCAAGTTGATGAGTGCGGTGAGCGAGTGGCACATGCCGTCAATCGACGAGAGGGTCAAGGTGCTAGAGGCCGACGCAGTCCAGCTGTGGAGGAGATGTGAGTGCGGCGAAGGAAGGCTCACCTCACCTGGCCGCCTGCCAACCCACCCATGGTCAGTACTGTTGTGGCCGTGCAGGTGAGGGGTACGAGATGAAGTATCTGACCGACTTTCTGACTGAGCTGGAGGTCAAAGAGATCGGCAGCTCAAAGACCCTTCTCAGGGACTTCGTGTCGAGGCGAGCTGGCAATCCAATCCGGCAGACAGACATAAGATATGCCGATGCGCACCAATAGATGCCGTCTGTGCCTTCTCGTCCAGGTGTGACGTCCGCATCATGCGCAAGCTGCTGACCGACATGCAGTGGCCCCGACCGCCCATGTGAGAAAGCAGCGGCGCAGACCCTTCCAGACACATATGTATCACTGTCTCTCGTACCTATATTACAATTCACAGTTTTGATGATGCGAGGGACCTTCTCGATTCCATTGGACTGCAAATCTTCCAAAAGTCAGCCAGCCAGCCAGCCAGCCAGATGACTAACGACCAAACATCGATGGGTTTGGTGTGCATTCAGGTTTGATGACGACGAGGACGGCATCCTGGCGAGTGACGATTTTGAGGAGCTTTGCACCAGGCTGCGGGACGTGGTGCAGATCGTGTACCCCCGTTTCGCACTCACACGGGAGATGATTCACAACCTCCGCACACAGCTCGAGTCGCAATACAACCACGGTAGGGAAACACAAACACATGCACCATCCGGGAGGTCACTGGTTTCTCTCTGTAGGCTTGTCACGCGGAATGATCGACGCCATCCTGCAGGAGGTACAAAGACGCAACAAGGCATACAAAGCCAACCAGCGACACTCACGTCTCCTTGTCCATCTTAGGTTTGTCTCCTGGTGCGCTTCGTCTCCACGGGTACCTAAGGTGCCAATCACACAGGGCCAGCCAGCTGTTGTGGTCTCGGCATTCGTGCAGGTCTGTCTCGAGTGGATCAGGCGCGGGAAGACGACCTGGGCGAGACAGAAGAGCTCTTCAAGAGGCTCAAAGGAGACGACAAGGCACGACTGCTCGGGTGAGTAGAGAGAGAGAGCTGTACAACCGGCTGGCATTCGCCCTCCGTCGGTTGCGTCTATCAATCAGGTTCTCGGTGGTTCGTCGTGTGGTGATTCTGCTCCGCGAGCAGCTGCAGCGCCTCCTGCCCGTTGACATGTCAATACAGTGGCTGGAGTGTAAGCATACAAGTGATCTTGGCACATAGACAGGCAAATGAGATCCTTTTCTCTTGGAGTGCAGCGATCGAGAATGGCCTGACCTTCAGCGAGGCATATGATTTATTCAGCCCGTTTGTGCGGCTGAGGCGGCTGCTGCTGGAGGGATACGGCATGCCATGCAAAGCCACACAGGTCACCCAGAAGCCTGTCTCACGTCAGCTGTCTGCATGTCATATGTGTGTGTACATGGCATGGCATGGCAGGTGAGCGAGTTGGAGATCGACGACGGTGTGCAGGCAGAGCACAAGAGGAGCATGCAGGAGGTCAAGGCCAAGCCGGGGTCAGCCAAGGTGGACCTCTTCGAAGACGCCGCCACCAAAGCCATCAGCTGGCTCAATCCAACACCCCTGTGGTCGCTGCAGAAGATGCTCGATGTCGGTTCATTTGCATAGCAATCCAAAGGCATATCATAAATTGCCTGTCTTGTGTGTCTGTGCAGGTCATCTCTGCCGTGTGGTTCGACAAAATCCTCGCAGACACCCTCGCAGACCTACAGAACAGCCCCAGGTAAACAAGCCAGAAGTCCTATCCCGATTCACCTTGACCACCCACGTGTCTCGCCCGTTCTCACAGGCTAAGCATTCACGACTTCCTGATCGACTTCGTTGCATGCCGTGTGCTGACGCCCATGGCAACAGAGAGGCAGCTGGCCGTCCTTATCGCAAATGCCCTCACTCACAAGGACAGCCATCTCCGCGTCCGGCTGTTCCTGAAATTGCTGGGCATGCTAGAGGAGACCCCCGTGGGGCTCATCGACTTTGTGCTCTCAGCACTGGCGGAGATCCAGCCGTTGGTTCTTGATCGGGAAGAGGGAAAGCTCTTCCCCTCACGCCAGAACGTCAGGAAAGGAGGAAGCAATCGGTCCGTCCCCCGTGCGGCTGCATCTCATGTGTGCGTGGGCTTGCAGGCGTGCCTGCTGCTTGAGCACGGCAAAGAGGTGGCCGCTAAAGTCATGTCGAGCAACCAATCTTCACACAAGTGAGCTGGCACACACACAAATTTTTTCGAATGGCATTTGTGGCCCTTCCCGTGTAAGGTGGATGAAGCTTTCCGACGCTGGCCTGCAACTCCTGACACGGAAGGTCAGTGAGTGCGCCGGCCTCGTGCACATGTCTGTCTCCGCCTTGAACTGCATGTCGTCAGATAGACGCCGTGCGCTCGACAATGCGCATTGCCGGCGAGAAGACCACTGTAAGCTGCCGCCGGCCAGCTCACAGTATTTGGGCGCCCGTGTTGTGCTTGCGGTGGCTTAGGTAATCGATGTGGACGAGTTGCTGTCTGTGCTGTCGTCCACATGGCTCAGCGAGCGCGACAGGCGCCGCACACTCCTCGCTGCCCTGTTCACTTCTGGTGACACAGACAGAAGGATGCACAGACTCCCACACCCACCGCCCTTGTCTCACCACCCATGCATGGGTCTGTTCTTTGACGTGTCTCAGGTCCCCAGGATGAGAGCATCAATGCAGGCAGCGATGTGCGTGAGCTGGCCTTCGCTATTTCCCTCCTCAAAGCACCCAAGCCTGACGCTGCCCAACGCGCGGCCGAACGACGCGCAAGCGTCGTGGCCGCGAGTGTGGCGAGTCGGCGGCGGTCGAGTGCTGTAGTGGCAGCTGAGCAGCTGTGGAGCGACCTGCCCACCTGGTCTCACGCCGAGTGGCCGACAGTGAGTAGGGCACTACAGATCTATCGGGAGGCACTCGCGAGACACATATTCGACCTCAAGGGGAAGGGTCAGAGACACATAAATGAATGGCACGGCATTTGCGTGCATGTGGATGCCTGTCTGCCTTCAGGTGAGCCGTTGGCGGCGAAGCCGACAGTGTCGGTGCTGCACCTGGCTGATGCCCTTCTCGATGTAGATAGCGACCTCACGTGCCTCGGTCCGCAGAATGAGCCCTGTCACATGGTTTCCACATTCCGCACTGTATGTCTTTCTTGTCAGAGGCGCGAGTCCCTGAGCTGCCTTCGAGTGAGCTGGTGGAACAATTCGAGGCCGCGTGGAATCAGTCCAAGTCTCTCTTCAACGATCACATCGGTGGGGAGAAGCACACTGACCTGAGGCAAAACTGGATTGTGTGCATCCACATGCATGCCATGCCATGCCATGCAGGTATGTTGGAGATGAGGGCCAATAGTGACGGCATCGGTATGCCCGGCGATTTCGTCAAGGACAACATCAGGAGGTTGAGGAGTAAGCGAATGCGTTTGGGGTGCAAGAGTGCATCCAGTGTCAGCTGTTGTGTGGTTCTCTCCTCAGGCCGCATGACACGTGCCCAGAAGCTCCTTGACGCCACCAGGCAAGGAAGAGACATCGCCACATGGAAGAGACATCGCCACATCGCAGATCATTCATTCATCCACTTTGCCTCATCGATATGCAGCCGTTCCCGCCAGGTGTCGCCAGCGCGCGACACACGGCTTCTGCCCTTCCCTCCTCGCCCGGCCGAGGACAAGCAGGGCGGGAAATTCTTCCAGCTGATTCAGGACGCTCTGTGGGCAGAGAGCCAGGGGCTGCATACGGCAGAGGGCGAGCAGAAGATGGAGGAGCTGCGACGGGCCGCCGCAGCGATGGAGCAGGAGGCCGCGCCCTCACTATACTTCACCAATGCGCTGCTGCAGAAGGACTTGGAGGGCTTTGCGGCGCAGATCCCTGACTATGGCGAGGCCAAAAGTGGCAACAGAAAGCAGAAAGCGGCGTCTCTGCTTAGGTGAGCGATTCACGGTCAAGTTCCTGTCCCCTGATTTGTCTGGTGTACTGTTTGTCAGGACGCAACTGGGCTTCCTCTGTCCAGCCTTCACGCTATCGATGCACCACGCCGTCGAATCGCTCGCGGTCCTCACGATGCTGAAGGAGGACCAGCAAGGCTTTCCCCCAAGTTCTGCGGACGGTGTGTCTCACGCATACGGCAGTGTGAGCGAGTCGGTAGGTGGGCTAGATGATCAGAGTATGGACGCGACAAGCAAGCGGCGGCCGGCTGTGGCGCTGCCAAAACAAGGTGGTGATGACTCCGACAGCGGGGACTCAGGAGCATGAGCGAGTGTACGTATCTGAACTCGTGGGTTTATGAGTTGTGGCTTGTGTGCATCTGGCGTCTCTTACAATGTTCATGACTCCATGACCATCCAATACACACAGAGCAGTGGTCGCTGAGTGAACACATCGCATGCCCTGCCTGCCTGCCCGTCCACTTCATTGGATGCATAGATCAAACCATGCTGGCATCAGAGATGGGTGCGCAAAGGAGCCGCCAAGCACAACTCAGCCAGAGACATACACGTGAATGGACAGACAATCAAAGCAGCAGTCAGTACAGTAGAGCCCTTCGCCCTCCCGTGCTTCCAGCCCAGCCGAAAGCAGATTCGTTACCCATGCATGACGTACCGATCGACATGTGCACGATTATGCACACACGAATGACTGGCATCTCCCTCGTTTCTGTCTCATCACTCACGGCCACCCAAACTCAGCCACCACAGAGTTTCTTAGATCGCTGCGGGGGCTCCTGCTTGGTTCTCCAACCACACTAGCAGACGACGAGTGTGACGAGCTTGGGCACCTTGATGCGCTCGACCCCCTTGCCCCTGACCTCCTTGTGGTGCCACGGCCGCCCCCTAGGAATGGCTGGAACACCTCCATCTCATCGCGATCGTAAGGCACTATCCCCGCCGTCAAGCCCCCAGTCGTCAGCCCGGACACCGTGGCGCTCTGCGGAGACAAAGGGAGGCTGCTCACGCGGTTGTAGGTTGGCTGCATGCGGGAAGGGGATGGTGCGGATGACAGAAAAGCAGGAAATTGCTGGTTGGCGGCTTCGATTCTCTCAAGTTTCCCAACGATTTCGCGGACGAACATCGGCGGGTCGTGCTGCGACCTCCAGACTGGCGGTGTGGCACTTGCTTTGCCACCCATTTGGCTGCCGCTCTCCTTCGCTCTTGCTAGCTGATCCAAGTTCGTTGACAGCTGGCGCAGCTCGTCGGTGGCTGCAGCAAAGAGGCGGCAGATCACCGGGCCGAGACAGAAGGAAAGGGCTGGTTGCATGGAGGAAGACTTGACGATATCGAGAAGAATTGGCAAGGGAAGCCGCTCTGAAAGGTCCTTGATGAGTTTCATCAGCTGTGATTGGCTCGTGAGCTGTTGCAGTGTCAGGTCTCTTGCCCAGTGCGCCGCCAGATGGAGGCCGTTCTGAGGGGCGGCCTCGAGACATGTCCAGAGCATCAGAAGCAGAAAATGAAAATCCAAATGGCCAGCTCTGCACCAAGGGACAACCCTTATCAGAGACATGAATGCGATTTCGTGTCATGACACCTGAAGTTGCTGGTGCTGAGCAGCGTTGCCGGTCGTTCCACCACAGCGACACACATGGCCTTGATGATCTCATTCACGACGTCCTCCATTCCGAAGTAAGATGAGAGGCGGATGAAATCAATGAGGATCGATGGCGGCATCTCGCCAAGCGGAGTGACAGGGGCCTCGATGAACCGCAGCAGCTGAGAGGTCGGCGTCCCTACGTAGCCTGCATGAGAGAGCAAACAATGTAGTTTGAAAAGGACACAGGATCTCTTAGTAGCAACGGACCTGGTGGGCTGGCAATGGATATCACGTGCTCTCTCCCTTCCTTCCACGTCGAAGAAAAGAGATTGTCGAAGAAGGCGAATCGGGAGAACGTCGCCACAGTAACTTCAATCACGTCGCCGCCCACCTCGATGAGACGCTTCAAGGGGGCCTCAGCAGCCTGCCTTGCAGCCCTTCTTGCCCGACCTTGCTGACACAAAGTGGTGAGGAGGTCATCGTAGGCGACGCCTTGGTCGTCGCAGAAAGCCAGAAGTGCAGAGACGCGCGTCGACAGCTCACTATCCCCGGACTGCTCCATGGCAGGATCCCGACTCCGTGCAACCGTGGTCGTCGCTCATCTCAGACCGGTCTCAGACCGGTCCAGGGAGACTCATAGAGCCCCGGAAGAAAGAGAGGGAGTGGGGGACGTCAGGAGAGTGAGCTCACTCCCTCTGAAGAAAGGGGGCGGAGACAGGGGAATCGTCGAGATTTTCAGTTTTCAAGCTCGCGGGGGCTTGCCCTCCCTCCCCTCCTTCAGAAGTGACTCGTTTGCGGCGATAATGGACAGCAAGTGTCCTTTTCATGCCCTCTTGGCGGCGCATGGATCTGTCCAGTTTGATCAAACGGCAAACCATGGTGCCAGCCCTGATCAATGGGAGGATGACGGAAGCCCAACGCGGTCCAAGAGCGACCACAGCCACGGGGAGAGGATGCCGTCTTCGGCTTCCATCGATAACGCTGCTAAGAGCCCAAAGATGTCAGACAAGGTGAGATATGCTTCTTGTGTTCGGTCTTACGCCTGCTGTTCTTGTCTTGCGTCTCTCTAGGAGCGGGGAGTGCTCATTGACAAGACCTGGGGTCTCCTGAAGGAGAGATACACGCTGCAGGCATGCCTCGATGCATCTTGCCCGCCGTACGCGCCCATTCCTCATGTGCCTGTCCACGTGCACTCAGGAGATCGGCGAGGAGCTGTACGATAACGTATTCAAGAACGCGCCGGATCTGCGGCACCTCTTCAAGAGGCCCAAGGAACTCATGGCACTCAAGTCAGCCACACACGAAAACAGCCAGCTGGGGTCACGTACAACGAGTGCGTGTGTGTCGACGGCGCAGGTTTGGCGAAATGATTTCTACCATCTGTGGCCTCTTCCAGGTGCACCCGGGCGCTCACATCCCGGTCTTTTGGCCAGTCGTTCATCTTGGTGTCTTGTTTGTGGTCGAGGCACAGACTGATAGGGAGAGCCTGCTGGAGACGATGCGAGATCTCGGCATCCGTCATGTGGATTACGGCAGCCGTCCGGAGTATTTCCCTCTTTTTAAGGCCTGTCTGCTGGACACACTCGAAAGTAAGCCACTCAGGGACAGGGGACCGCGCCGGGATCTTGTTCTGTCTCGTTGTGTCTTTGCTGATCACCAGATCTGTTGGAGGATGGTGAGTTCACAGCGGCCACCGAGGCAAGCTGGGTAAGTAAGAAGCCAAATAAGATTCGTCTCCCTTCGTTTTCCCAAGCAAGTGTTTCTTGTTTCGTGCTTTTTGGCCTCTTGGCCTCGGGTCAGAACGACATGTGGGACGAAGCCAGTAAGTGACACACACACTACACGCCCATACATTTTTGAAGCCTTGACGTGTGTGTCTGTGTCTGTGTCTGCTATGTTCAGGCGAGATGCTCATTTCGAGCCAGGAGCTCGCGGAAAGGTGACAGTCGATGGGACAATTATGAACTGTCCTTCTCTCGACACACACTTCTCTGGTGGCCACATTGTTGTCCTCAGACTCGTGGGAGCCATCAGACACACCTGGGAGGACGTCAAGCACCCAGCGATCGAGGTTTGAAGCACCGATACATCACCAGAATATCTATACCGTGGGAGGAGCACCACATCGATGTGATGTGTGTGAGTGCGTGCAGCTTGAGATCACTTCCAAAATCATCAACGAGCTCATCAAGCTCCACCCTGAGGTCAAAAAGACAGTCATCAACCTGCTCGGCGGCCGCAAGCAGTACTGCCAGGTCTTCGGGCGGTGGACGATCGATTATGAGGAAGAAGAGCACCGTCCAAGACCCATCCTCCCCCCGCCAGGGGTCCGATGGCGCTGACGACACCGTCTCTGAAGCCAAGAGTGCCGTCATGTCCGAGGCCAAGAGCCAGGTCACGGCCGTCACGGGGGTGACCGGCGTGTCGGCCAGACGTATCAGCCTCATGAAGTCCATGAAAGCAAGAACAGATTGGTCACTCGCGGTGAGCCGGACAGTGAGCGGCGACGTCGCCAATAGTCAGTATGTTTGTCTCATTTTCGGCTTTGCTGTTTCAGACCGAGTCAGATTTGCCTCGGCTTGGGCCGCGTCTCGCCCAGATTGTGATGCACATCACCAACACATCCAAGTGCCTCGTAAGCTACCGATCACCCGAAGGCACCCGCCTCAAGCGGTCGGTATCTTCATGTGCATGAGTCCTCTCTGTCTGACCCTGCCAGACACGTCGTCAAGACTTCGCCATGGAGTGTCTCAAGCTGAAACTTGATATGACCCATATCGTGGGCATCAGAGTGGCCATCACAAACACCATCAAGTGAGACACGAAGGGAAAAAGTCATGAGAGCACTCGTTTGGGGGCTCGGCGTCTCTTCAGGGACATGGTTGGCGAGGGGACATGGGAGTCGGAGCCCGACGTGGCCGAGGCGTGGATGTGGCTGCTGGATCAAATATGCCACGAGGTGGCCACTATCATCAATCAGGTGCACAAGCATGCCCCGGTCATCCACAAGTCCTGGCAGCTCGTCCAGGACGCAGGTGTATACACACTAACACACACGGAGGAGTATGTATGTATGTATATATGGAAGCCCGCGTGGTCTACGTGAGTGCATCTGAAAGCCACGACTCGCATGCATCTGTTGTTCCCTCCTTGCTGTGTGCAGTCGACATGGAGCAGCTGGGCATCATATTCTATGACTTTTTGTTCCAAACAGCTCCGGCGATGCAGAGCCTGTTCGTCAAGCCCAAACACCTTCTGGGACAGGTGCTATGCTAGTCCATGTGGCAGCCTACGCTAGTCCATGTCATGCGATGTCTCGTCTGCTCTCTGTCTGTCATTGGGCGTGCCTGCAGATGTTTGGCAAAATGGTCGGTGGGACGTGTTGATGTCCTTGTCTGACCACGGCATTAGTGTGGTGTATTTGTCAGGTGGGATTGTTGAGCGACTCGGTTGAAAATCCTCTCCGACTGACCAAAGAACTGCGGGAGCTGGCCATTCGACACATCAAGTGGCGGTGAAATTCTACACCATCATTCAGTCGGGTACCAACTTGGTGACAAAGGCACTCATCACGGGGGAGCCCTCGGAGCTGCAGCGGGCTTTGAGCGCTGCTCCGAGAGGCGAGCGGGCCAGCTGGTCATGCGAAGTCGATCTGGACGGCGCAGTGCTGTCGCCGGTAAGCACACACATGGCTTGGTCGATCTACTACTTCACTCACTGCGTGCAGATTTACTGGTCCATTCGTGATGGCAAGATGCCTCTGGCACGAGTCATGCTTCGAGATGTGCTTGCTATCCGCGCCGACCGTCAACAATACTACTATGGTTGAGACAGCTCAAAACAGTGTCCATCTGCTTGGCACAGTTGTCAACTGTGCACGCATGTCTCCAGGCCGTGAGGAACTCTTTCGGACGCACCCGAACATCTTCCGCGTCCTCTCATTGTAAGCCAGCTGAGCCTTCTGTCGACCAGCTCTCGAATCACTCTCTCTTGTCTGTTGCATTCTTGCATGTACGCAGCGAGGCCCCTGAACTGTTGCCGCTGCTGCTGGATGGGCTGATGTGGCAGTCGAGATATGTGACCAAGGGTGCTCGAAGAGTCAACTATTGCGTCAAGGTGAATGCTGCCGGTTTTCCAAAATCAATGTCTTGTTGTCTGCATCATCGCCTGACCTCCAGGAACTTTGGGGCGATCCGAGCAGCAGAACTTTCAAGGACGCGTGGAACTCGCCGCTGGGCACTTTGGTCGAGCTGAGTGACAGCGACGTATTAACGCATCCAGTGCTCGACGTGAGCACAGAGGACAAGTGATTGACGCCACACAACGCCCTTTGCTGTCTTCGCCTACGCGACTCCTGTGACTGCAGTACGCTGTGCGAATGAAGTGGCGAATGTTTGCCCGTCGCGTCTGACCAACCTGTTCAACCTCATATGCTTCATGTTGGGCTTCACCATCATCACCCAAGAGTCGTGAGCGAAACAGGCCACCTCTCCTTCTAGCAAATTCCACGCTTTCACGGCTCTCCATTCGTGTCTTCTGCCTGCAGGCCGGGCTTTGCATTCCGCGCCGTATCGTATCTGCTGTGTGCGGTGCACTTCACTGAGATAGTCGTCAGATGCGCTGCACAGATCAGGTGCGAACACACACAGACACACACAGATAGAGACAGGGAGAGATGTAATGGCGACCACGAATGGATAGATGGACCGATGGATGGATGGTCGATACAGGCGTGGCGAGTTTGCGCGCCCCTTCCTGGGCATCCGTCTCCCGAGAGCGCTGGTGTAAGCACAGCCAACACATTTTACTGTTCCCGCATGTGCTGGTATCCCGGCAGAAATGTGTGGAACTCCGGCCGTACTTTGGCTGATGCAGTAATCTTCGTCACCATAGCAAATGACCCGTGGTCAGTGCCTCTGCCGACACACCCAAACAGGAAGACAGGGTGGATGAAAGGATACGTCCCGACCGACCGACCGACCGACCGACCGACCACGTGTGCGTGCAGGCTGCGAGGGAGTGACGACTTGGGCCTTGAAAACGCTCTCCATCCGGACAGTGAAGTCTACTGGTTCCGAATGTCGGGCGCCATCGCAGGCGTACTCATGTGGCTCCTCTTACTTGAGTTCGTCAAGGCGAGTAAGTGCCACTTAGATGTAATTTGTGAAGCTTTATCCTGTGTGTGCGTCCGTGTGTGTCAGTTCCGACCCTGTCAGCCTTTCTGCACGCCATTGCCAAGTTGATGGAGGACATACTGAAGTTCATAGCCGTGATGGTTCTCATCATGATAGCCTTCGCCTGCGCTTTTCACATCGTCCTCGCCTACGACAGTGTAACCCAAAGAAGAGAATGTGGCCGTATGTGTCGTTTTGAGCGGTGTGTGCATGTGTTTGCAGGAGTTCAGCTCAGTACCTGCGGCGGTTCTCACTCTGTACAGGTACCAATATGCGGAGTCTGTCTCTCTAGTGTGTGTGCACGTGGTCTATGTGTCTGTCTGTCTGTCTGTCTTAGTCTGATGTTGGGCCTTTGGAGGCCTGACTTCGCCGGGGGTCACAACGATCCGTTCGTGCAGCTGCTCTTCGTCGTCTACGTCACACTCGCACTCATCCTGATGATGAACCTCCTCATCGGTCGGCCAAAGGCCCACTTGGCGTGAATGCTCAAGAGAACAGCTGAATACGATGCGTGTGTGTACGGGGGTATAGGTCTTATGGCAACAAGCTACGATTTCGTGTACCACCGCATCGATGGCTTCGCCAAATTGGACAAAGCCAAAGTGGTAAGTCGAACTGTCTCTCGCGTATGTTGATGACGTTGACCGATGAAGATGATGGCTAGGTGGTGGAGACGGAAGCCGCCATGTCCAGAAAGAAGCTGTAAGCCACTTCAGCCCACTTACTCACCGTGTTGATGTGTTGGGTTGACTGGTCCATGCAGCATAGCGATTTTTAACAACATGCATTTCGATGAGCCAGTCGAGTTCGACGAGTCGGATCTCGGACCGGCTGGTGGCAAGCAGGTGTTGGTGCCGTCCAACAAGGAGGACAAACTCGTCAAGGATCGCATACAGCGATTCCATGGGGCGACAGGTAATCCTGTCTGTTTTTCTGTTTCGATTTTGTGGGACGGAAACCAATCCCTGGTTATCTCTGAGTGTCAGACCCCAATGCGCCTTGGCCGAACGACAAGAAACAGAGCTGGCAAGATGACGACGACATCGCCATCGACGTGCGTAAGACACTGGTGTTCGTGTATAATGAATCGTGGTCAGTGTCCTTGTGTACGGTCCTTATCCATCTACCAGGATCGCCTCAAACGCATAGAGCAAGCACTCAAAGTGAGAACACGTGCCCCCTCGCAATGTCAGCGCCAATCATCGTGTCTCCTCTCTATGTTCAGGGCTCCCGTCGCGGCCTTCACGGAGACAGCAGCAGTGCGTTCGACCGTGGCAGCGTCGTGTCTGGCGCGTCTAGGTCAGTCACCAACTCTCGGCGCACAGCACCCCTTTGCAATAGCTTTCTGATTTCTCTGTCTACGTAGGGGCACGTTCGCCAAGCATGCGCTGCAGCTTGGGGGCAGTAAGTCCCCCCCCAAATCGCAGTCCAAGACGCTCGACCACACGGAAAGCAAGCGCAGCAACGACCTCTTCGACAAGGGTGGCAAGAAGATCAGCAAAGGCGGCAGCAAGGAGGCAGAAGATCCCAGCCGCACTACATCAGTCAACCAGCCCACCCGCCTTAGCACGGCAGGCACGGGGCAGCTGCAGACGCAGGTGTCGAGAAACTCCAAGCGGCAGGTGTCGCTGCAAAGCGTTTTGCCCAAGATACCTGAGGCCATTCTGGCACTGGGCGGCAGTAACAAGCGCAGGGTTTCTGTTGGCGATATGGCCGTCACCACCGCCTCTGACATGTAAGAAAGAGAGAGACACGTGGCTGTTACGCGTGCCGTCACTACCCACACAATGCATTGATGTCTGCAGGCGCAGTGGCGATCCGACATTGTCCTACCTGCGGTTGGCTCCATCAAGCGATGCGACACTCTCTGATATTCGACTGAAGTAAGGCCCGCTCTCCCATGAGGCACGCCGTGCAGAGAGACTTGCATTTTTCTTCTGCCATTTCCCTGCTCAGAGGTCCCGTCGTGCCGACGACGAAACCAAAACCACCAAGAAGTGGTGATGATGAGTTGCCAATGGTGCCGGAGCACGAAGTCAGCCTTCCGCCCGACACTGGCATCTCGGAGGAGCATCTCGGAGAACACGCGTAATTGCAGTCTAACCATTGTGTGCCACGCCACTGCTGCATGATCCCGTTTCCTCGTCACTCACTTCCTGAACGTGGTGCGACCTCTTTTTCCGTATGGCCATTTTTCTACATGTTACTATGTGTTGTGAGGCAGTTTGAAGTAGTGTAGTGTGAGGTTGTCCGTGACGCTGTGGGGTAGGGTGGATGTCAGCGGGGCTGTGTCTGTCAGGTGGGATAAGATATCATGCAGCAATCCTTGCACCGGATGCAGAGACACATCATATAGTCCAGCAGGCAGCTGTGCTCGTATCAACGATAATAATCGGTCCTCTCTACATGTCTGTCCATCTGTGCCCTTCCTTCTTGCTGTTGCAGACAAACAACACGTAGAGCAGAGTTAAGACTGACAACTCATGACATTGTCACGAATACGTAGCGAAACAAGAGACATATCGACACATGGCAGGGCAGGGATTACGCAACATTTCTGTTGATTCAGCAAGACATCGGAAAACAAAGACAGGACGAAGCCAGAGAGAGACATTCATCCCATGCGTTTCACGGCAAAGAAAAACATTTAACACAGACACAGAGAGAAAAGAGGATGAGGTACGCTCGTACTGCCCTGATCCTTGCCCTGATCTGGTGCCTGTTGGCGCCGCCCTCTTGTGCGCAGGTTTCTGCCTCAAACAGGTGATGCGGGCGAGGAAGGACGTCGAATCAGCTGCACGGCACACGTTGGTCCTCTTTTGTGCAGGGATCTTCTGGTGGCGCTTGTCGAAAATCACTGGAATCATGTAAAATGCACGCACGTGACGCAGATCACGTTCGTGATTGCCTTTCTTGTCCATCTTCGGTTTGCAGGTGGTGTGGGGCAGCAACGTCGTCGAGGTGGACGACCTGTACAAGCAGGTGCAAGAGACGTTCTTCTGTGACTCCTGCGAGACCTTGACAATGGAGTGGCTTCGAGAGCAGATCGAGAAGCAGATCGTTGATAAGGGCCTGGGCGGCAACTCGACGACGATAGACACGTGGCGGTCGCGGGGGGAGGCGTTTCTCAAGAACATGCACAACCAAACGGGGCAGGTGTGGGGCATGACGGCAGGAGCGGCCTATGTGGAGGGACAGCTGGCTATCAACGCGTATTCGACATGGGAGGAGGTCTGCATGTGCTGCAAGCCATGTGAAGGTTGCGAGGAGGTGTGTGACTGCAACAACTGTGGTGTGCTACGTACGGAGACGCCCACTATCTACCAGCCCTTTGTCGGTTGGACTGTCCGGGCAGCCAACGAGGTGAGAGAGAGAGAGAGAGAAAGAGAGAGGATGGCAGGCAACTGCTACCGTGCGTCTGTGGGTCTGTCTATCTGTCTGTCTGTCAGTCTTCCCCCACCTCCTCGCCGCCTGTCAACGTGTCCGATGTCCTGCTAGCGGACCCTGTCGGCAACACAACAAGCTTCTTCTCTTCACCTGAGGAGGCCAACGGCACCATCACTGCTGACGACATCATCGCAGAGCTGCCGTCATCTGCCAACCAGACACCGGCCAACAACACCAGTGAGATCCCTCTTGGCACCACACAGGCGACGAGTGGGTCCATGTCAGCTGACGATCTCACTGCCGAGCTGCCTGCTGGTGCTGGGGGGAATGCGAGTGCGCCTGAGGTCCTCGTTTTCAGCCCTGGCACTCCCCCGGATCTGCTAGAGGTCAGTCAGTGGATGGGCGAAACGCGGCTTCCTGTGTGGCAGCCCAGCCCCCACCGGTGTGTTGTGTTGTTTGTATGGTGTTTGTGTGTATGTTACAGAGTCCGGTGCATGTGTACATCCACAACCACTGCCGCTATGCCGTCGAGATGATAGTCCGCTACCTGGACACTGCCGGCACCTGGCGGGACGTGTGCGACATCCGGTCGGGCACCGGCGACGAGCAAGGTACGATGATGACAACACACGCGCACACGGAGCCACAGCCGTTTTGTCTTGTTCGTTCACGTGTCTGTGGGCGCGTTGCGTTGTCTCTCTCGTTCAGTGGTCCATGGCAACTTCACCGAGGAGGGGTTCGCCCACACTGTCGGCTCGCAGAGCGAAGCCGCCGGATCTCATGGTATCTTCGGCCCGACCGGATTCATGTGGGGGGAGGACTTTGCAGATCAGAATGCGCTGACGCGATTCCCTCTCATCTTCTACGCCGCATCGACGGTGGGGAAACGCCCAGCCGGCATGCTCAGGTGGTGGGGCCACGCCCATCCGACGACACCTGAGGTCAACAACTGCGGATCTTACGCCCTGCTGCGACCGTTCTCCTACATAGATCTCGACGGAGATGTGTTTTTGCATCTCTCGTGCGACCGGTACCAGCGCCGGCTGTCGGGTGATGGTGATGTGGGGGTTAGTGTGCGGGCGGAGATGAAGCGAGCGGCCGGTCCGTCTTTCTCAGAGAGGCGAAAGAGAGGTCTGAGGTCGCTGGGCAGTAGAGGCAGGACGTGGCAACACGCATTCCCGTAGACAGAAAGACACAGAGACAGACAAAGAGAGAACGGCAGCCAGCAGGGGCTTTCGCGCTTGTGATGTGTCCTGTGTTGTGTTGTGGGGTGTCGGTCAAGGGGACTAAGACAGGGCGATGTGCGTACGGATGTGGAGTTTTGTAAGCCGTCTGGCAGTAGGCGAATCGCAGTTGCGAACAGCGAGGCTGTCGCTTTTCTTTCACAGCATCCATCCATCCATCCACTCATCCACCCATCGTGCACGCTGATAGATAGGTAATTCGATAACGTACGTGTCGGGGCTTTCCCGTCCCGCCTTTCTGTATACGTCGTGTTGCGTGTCTGGCATTTGGATGCACCTTGGCAGCGGTACCTGACTCGTCTCGTCCATCCATCCATCGGCCGGTCGGTCGGTCGGTCGGTCGTGTGCACATGTTGCGACGCCGATCACAAGCTGTGTATACATTTTTGTACATGAGAGGGAGGGGACGGACGGCTTTGGAATTATTTCGGTTCTTTCGTGCTGTGCATGATTTACGATGGAGTTTATGTGGGTCGATTCGCCTGCCTCCCTGTCTGCTTGTCTCCCCGCTTGCCTGCCTGCTTGCCTACCTGTGAGCCAGTTGATCTGTGTGGCTGCGTACCGACGGTGCCCATTTGATGCGTGGGGGCAGCGGGGGGTGGACTGGCGTGCCGTAATTCACCCAGCACATGTCCAATGTAGTGCATCGTGGTTGTCTCCGTGTCTGCATGAAGAAACTCACAAGAGTGCTACCCTGAAGCCTCATCCATCATCCCGCAGCAGATCGCCCGCACGATTTCGTAAAGTGATCTGCAAATGAGCTTTGCGGCGATTCGCGCCGCCGCCGCGATGTTTTCCTGGCATGCGATGACGGCCGGTGTCCTGGGGCTCGTCGCACTGGTCCTCATGATCACAGGTGGGCTGCGATATGACGGGGGGCCGTGCGGTTCAAACCTCTTCTTGGCTTCACGCCGACTGGGATGGACGATGCTGCTTGCAGGCATGGCGACGGACAACTGGCGCTACAATTACTTTGACAATGAAGTGGGAGGGGTCACTGCGTATCGACTGGAGGCCTACGGTGATGACAGCTCGAAGCACATGGGGGAAGTGGGCAAGTGGGATGGGGAGCGTGTCTGACAGGCCGACTTCTCGGTGTGAGTGTGTGTCAGGCCTGACTCACTTCAAGTGGGTCCTCCAGACCAGTCTGCAGACCGACTGCAGCGAGCCTGCCGACTACTTCAGCTGCAAGAAGCGGGACCTGCCTGAGGCCAAGGACCTGTGTGTGTGCCGTGCCGAGTTCCAGGTAGCCTGTCTCATGTTTGGGGTCGAAATTTGAAAGTCGTCCTTGATGGCTGCATTTTGGTCAGGAGGCCAGGGAGTCGATTGAGGACGACACCGACTGCAAAGACTCAAACAAGGTGAGATTCAAAACGGTGTGGGGCACTTTGTTCTTCCCACTGATACGATACTGATGTACTGATCTCTTTCTTGCGTGTTACAGGACACATGTGACCGGCTGGATACGCACATCACAGCCGGCCTCGGCATGATCATCCCTGGGGCTCTCGGCCTGACCACACTTGCGGGCGCCATTGTCTTCAGGTGACACCAAAACATGCGCCTGTCTGAGAGCTCCTTTCACATCACACACGGCTGCCTTGTATGTTTGCTGCAGCTTCATGACTTCGCTGCTGAACCAAAGGTGAGAAGGAGTGGTGCTTGCCTTGGCGTCTGCCATTTGTATACACTTGTGTACCATACCTTACTCAGATGGAGCAGACCTGCCATTGCCTGTTATCTCGCCTCCCTCCTGCTGTTCTTCCTTGGTGCGTCCGCATGAGACACGGAAGAGCACGACGAGCGACTCATGCACGGGTTGTTTGTCCTTCCTTCAGGTCTGGTCATATGGGGGTCTCTCACGTCCGGCAAGAAGGAAGCCGGCCCCCACTGCATCGACAAGGACGGGGACAAGTTCGAGTGCCCCTTAGGCTATTCGTCAATCCTTGCTATTGTCTCCCTCTGCCTGGCCTTCATTTCTACGATCCTCCAGTCCTTGCCCATCCCCGGAATTGACAAGTTCTAGAAGATCAGTTTGACTGAGTTGCCCTTTCCTTGCTCTCAATCGATTGCTTGACAGTGGACTGAAGACCATTGGATTAAGTGGACTGAATTTTGTCAGCCAGGCGGTGTTCCAGAAGAAAGCATGTACACGACAGCTGCATGGATGGCCCATCTTACATGCATGACAGCGGCGCGCCGCAGCTGCCAGGGCAGCGCCTTCTCATATCACACATAAGAAAAATGACATTGGGGCCGCCTTATTAGCTGCGATCGGTCACACGCATCCATCCATCCATCCATCCAGGGAACACAGTACACGGCAGTCAGGCAGTCGACCAGCAGCTTCGGCAGAAATCACTGATCAAGGCGCATTACCCCCGACCCACCACTCTCCTTCCCTCCTTCTTTTGGCAGACCAGACCCGCCCCGCACAGCACAGAGTGGACAAAGTGAGAGAGAGAACAACCGGTGTCGTTGGCGAACAACAAGACGACATTTCACTCACACATACACACGACATGCGGCAAACAACGAAATGGACAATGAAAAAGACGAAAAGGCCAGGTCAGGTCAGGCGAGGTCAGCCACTTGGCGGCGATTGCCGCCGAAGGACTTCCCCCCTTTCAACAAACACCACATCGAATGGGTCAAGGAGCCCCGCCGCGCCAGGCTGCACGAAGTCACCCTCATAAGACGCCCTCACCCCAGGAGGGCCGCTCACGACCGAGTATTTGAGGACACGAGAGGAGCCGAGGTGGCCGCCTTCGGCAACATACAGGTGGCCGTCGGAATCGAAGGTCAATCCTTGTGGGCCTCTGAGGGCTCCAGCGGTGTCTCGGTTGATGATGGCGCCTTTCGTTGTGCCGGTCCGGCGGTCAAAATGGAGAATTTCGGATGAGTCGAAGCATGTCACGAAGAGATCGTTCTTGTGGAAGGCCAGGTCGGTCGCTGTGCGTGTAAGAGAGACATGAGATACAGAGACACGAATGCGAGCTGTGTCTCTGACAGGAGTACTTACTTGTGTATGCAGTTGGGTCGAAGGCGAAGACGTCGATGAACTTTCCTGTGGTGCCGTTGTACTGAAAAATCACACTGTCGCTCGCCGAGGCCACGTAGAGGTCGCCGTCGTGGGGGGAAAACTTGATACCCGCTGGAGCCGTCAGGCCGCCCGACTTGGGGCGAGTGACGAAATCTGCCAAATACTCGCCCGTTTTGCCATCAAATTTGACCACACGGGCATCCTGATTCGACACAATACGGGAGACACGGGCTCTCTCTGGGTGGTTTCCTGTTGTCGTGTTTCGTCTCCCTGCCTGGAATGACGTCGCGTAGAGGTGCCCATCAGGACCGAATGCCACCCCCACGACGCCCAGCAGCCTGGCTGCTGAGTTCGGGGACACAAGATGGCCCAGGTAGTCGCCGGTGAGGGGATCGAACTTGAGCACGCCTCCGGTGAGGAACGATCCGACGTGCAGGATGCCGTCGGGCGAGAGATCCATGCCTGTCGGGGCCCGCAGGACCTCCGCATTTTTGTCGTCGAGGGCGATCATGACTTTGTCGAGTTCGCCAGTGTCTCCGCGGTAGGAGAAGACGAGGTCAGAGAGGAAGCTGGACACGAAGAGAGTGCTGTTGGCTGGAAAGAGACAGAGAGGAAATGGGAAATACACAATGGATAGAGGCAACCGACAATTGTCCTCGTGTATCTCGCTGTCGCACCCGGAGCAGGGGGAGGTGGGGTGGTGCTCACAGGCACAACTGTAGTGGTCGGCGCCGCAGTCGTGACAGCCGGCGTTGGGAGAGCCGTGGACGTCACCCTCTCTGTCGTGACGGCCGGCGTTGGGAGAGCAGTGGACGTGACCCTCTCTGTCGTCGGCTCTCTCGTCGTCACAAGCGGCGGGGAATGCGTGGTCGGCTTCACTGTCGTCACACGCTGTGTTGTCGTCGTTGGTTTTGATGTAGATGTAGGCGCTGCCGTCGTGCTTGGCGTGCTCGTCGGCAGCACAGTCGAGGGCTTTCCAGTCGTGGTGCTGGGCAGTGCAGTGGATGTAACCCTCTCTGTGGTTGTTGATGGCACGGCCGCCGTGCTGGTCAGGACGGGGGCAGTGGTGGTGTTCCCCACAGGCTGCAGCGAGGTGGGTACTGCTGTGGTTGTGAAACTGAAGACAGGTCTTTCGGTGGGATCCTCGAAATCAAAGGGCGGCCTGGTCGACGGCGGAGGCACAAAGCCAGGGCTGGTCGTCTCGGGCGTACCGCACTCTGCAAGCCCACATGCCATTAAGGGACATGTGACGATCGCTTGGTGTTGTTGTCTCTTACTGATGCGAATCGGACACGTCGCATGGCCGTTCTTGGCTGCCGTCCCCCTCCACCCAATCCAGTCATGTTGCATCGGCACCGTCCCGAAGTACGTCACACGAAACATAGACGAGATACTCACCGAGTCAAACAGCCCGTTGAGACTGCACAGCGCCTGCAAGTCGATTGTGTTGGCCTTGTTTCCCTCTGTGTCGAAGAAGTGCACCACGCAGTAGTCAGCATGGTTGGCCTGGCCAACGGGCGGGACGGGGAGGCCCGAGTAGATGAGCTTGACGATGGTTTTCTTGGGGATGTCGGTCACTCTCAGAGTGGCGGGAAAGGGGGAGAGGGTCAGGGGCAGGTGCCATCGACAGGCAGGGGTGAACTTGTCCACTGCAGCCAGCATACAAAACATGCGGATGCGTGGCGGTGTGTCTGTCCTCCACCCTCACCTAATCGTTGTATCTTGGGTGGAGGCTCCTCACGCGCAGGCGGATGACCGGAGAAGAAGTGCGAAGAGTGAGTGCCTTCACGTGACACGGTGCCTTCTGACTGTGCAGCAGTCCAGGAGGCCAGCAAGACCGACATAAACACAAGCAGGGGCTGCTTGTGCTTCATCGTTGCTTTGTCGTTCCTCGAGCGAAAGGGGGCGCTGCACTGGGGCCTTGTGATTGTGTTTCGCGCTCCGTTCCCGAAAACAGCAGTCGAGGGCGAATGCATTTGGTCTTTGTCTTTGTCCTCGTCCTCGCCTCTATCTCATTCGCTTTCGCCCTTCGACTGTCCGCCCTGTCTGCTGGTCTGTCTGACAAGGAGGTGAGCAGGTGGAGATGAGATCTGCGCCACGTGTGCACAGCACATCCCCTATTCTGTGTGCTGCAGATGAGTCCGCGAATCGCTGTCGTGACCGGAGCAAACAAAGGGTGAGGACAGGCAAGACACACGGAGAGTCGCCAATGCATGGCTGTCCCTGTGTGTCCATGCATCAATCAGCATCGGCTATGAGATTGCTCGAGGGCTCAGCCTGACGCCTGGCATCCATGTCATCCTCACAGCACGCAAGGCGGCTCTCGGGCAGGACGCAGCAGACCGGCTGAAGCAGGAGGGAGGGCAGGTGTCATTCCATCAGCTGGTACGCATCACAGGCACGAGCACGTGATTGTGCGGTGATTGTGCACCACCCGTATTCCCTCTGTTGGTCCTGCAGGATATTACCGATGCGCAGAGCATTCAAACACTGAGGTGACCAACACCACACATATACAATCGATGGATGCACGCTGCAGTGCATGGCTGATTGAATTGCAGGAGTCACATTGAGAGCCAGTATGGCGGCCTCGGTGAGTGAACTGCAGCTGACACATGGCTGGCTGCTCAAGAACGAATCCGTTGCATGCATTGTCATATGTGACTGTCTGTGATCACAGACATCCTGGTCAACAACGCAGGTGAAGATTGCACCAAGCCACGCCCAGTGGCCAGTGTGCCGCCTGTCAACAAACGTGTGTGTGTGTGTGTATGTTTGTGGTTCCATCGAATGAGCATGCAGGCTTTGCCTTCAAAATGGCTGCCACTGAGCCATTCAGTTTACAAGCGAAGGAGACTCTCAAAATCAACTACTTCGGTAACTGACACAGAACACAGTTAAGCAGATCATTGTGCGGTTTGTCCACCCACTCAGGCACGCTTGCGATCAGCAACGCGCTGCTTCCGCTGATCCGTGCCAACGGCCGCATTGTCAATGTCGCGAGCCAGGCGGGGCTCATTTCCTCGCTCAAGAGCCAAGGTAGGTACTAAAGAGATGAGGAGTCAACATTCATTGTGTCACTCACGGTGCGGCGTGCTTGATGTGTGCAGCCTTGCGTGACAGATTCATGGCTGATGACCTGACTGAGAAGCAGCTCTCCGGACTCATGAAGCAGTTCATCGAGTACTTACAAAATCGCTGCCACAGAACGAATTAGGCGAGAAAACGAAATATCATTAATTGTGCGCGTCTGCTTGGGCTGTGCAGTGATGCCCAGAGCGGGCAGCACCAGTCGAGAGGCTGGCCGTCGACTACCTATGGTGTGTCGAAGATCGGTGTTGCGATGCTCACACGCATAACTGCCAGGGACATCGGCAGGCTGAACAGCAACCCTGGCGTGCTCGTCAACTGCTACTGCCCCGGTGAGCGAAGCGGATGGAGACTGGCAGCATCCAATCTGTTTGCCGCGTCGCTTTTCTCTCTCAGGTTGGTGCAAGACCGACATGGCGGGATGGGATCGGGCGCCGCGGACAGCCGCACAGGGGGTCAGTCGAGGAACGAGAATGGCCAAGGCATCCAGTTTCTGCATCGATGTGTTGTTTGTATAATGCCTGCGTCATGTCAGGCTGATACGGGCATCTACCTAGCCACCTTGCCCCCTGGATCGTCTGACCTGAACGGCCATTTCTTTTACGATCGTGCACAGCGGTCATGGTGAGCGGAGACACAGGCAGTTGGGCAGCCGACAGGGCCGCCTGCCTGTCATGTGTTTCGTATGTGTGTGTTTGTGTGATGTGTCTGTGGGTTCGCATTCATTTGTGCACTTATTATGTATTGCCTACTAGGGGAGAGAGCCGGTTTGACAGATGGTTCCATCCCTTGCCCCTGATTCGGGTTGCACTGGGGTGGTAGTAGAGTACAGTACAGTGCAGTAAGGCAGACAGCCGTCAGGCTGCTTGTGCATGTGCTGCTGTGACTACGTGTATATCTATCCCATTTGCTCACATAAGCAAGATCTGCCTGTTCGCTTGTCTGCCTGCCTCTCAAGGAGGTTTTCCTGTGTCTATGCAATGCGAGGACAGTGCGACGATGCGAGGATGCAGTCCTTTCATATTCGTGTGTGAACAGTCTCTCTAATGCACTACAGTCATGATGTCATGAATCACCAAGTCAATACCGTCAGTGATTGTCGACTCATTCAATTCGTTCAGTTCGACTCTGCATCTGCCCTCAAGGGCCGGGACTTGGGCGCGAGGGAAGGGAGTGAACGACTCGTCCACGATGCGAGCTTAGCAACGGTCCAACCCTAGGGCCGGAAGGAACTTTTTTCCTGTGTGGATTCTGCAGCCGGTAATAGCACCGTAGCTTCGAAATGCGGGTTTGCTGTCTTCTTTCCGTGGTGACCCTTGCCGGCGCCGCTCGTCCTTTATCGCCTGGATCTGTGGCATTCGTGCCTCCGCTGCACCGCAGAGCATCTTTGCCTTCACGACGGCCGAGCAAGACGCCATTGGTGAATGAGCAGCACCTGCACGTCAGTGGCTATGGCCACGGACAGGCGAGATCCATTGAAGAAGGGGCGCAGAGGAGGACGGTTATGCATGCGAATCCGCTGTTCATGGGAGGTGTGGTGACCTCGCTCATCGGCAACCTCTTGACGGTCGGGAGCGACAGAACACACTCAAGGAAGGGACGATGACTGACTGGTTGATGTGATGGTCTCTCGCGTCGGTCTGTCTGTCGTTGGTGCGTTCAGCTTCCCTTGGAGCTCTTTTTGCTCAGCGCATCTTTCATCGGCCTGTTGGTGTCGGCAGTCTTCACCTTCCTGGGCACGTCCATCATATCCCTGTTTGCCATCGTGGCCTCCCTCACCCTGTTCTCCTTCATCTTCGGGGGGCTCATCATGACCACAGTGGCAGCCTTCGGCACAATCGCCACTATGGCGGCTTTCTTCGGCACAGCTGCCTTCACCGGTAGCTAGCACTGCACCGCTGCAGACAGACAATGACGGACCCCTGGGATCCCCTCTGTGGGAATGTGTGTGGGTGTGTGTGGCGGGTGTGTCAGGCATGTTTGTGATGGGCGTCTTACGAGCCTTCGCTCAGCCCTTCCTGTCCGCCAATCAGCAGCGGTTCCCCGCACCCACCTTGCCCCGGTTCACCCGACAGCGGCAGTCTGAGATGAGGCGCGTCCCCATTGGCCGACAGCAGCAGCAGCAGCAGCAGGGTGTCTCTCGTGAGCGTCAGGAGGCCATCGAGCGGATAGAGGACGACGTGTCGAGCAGGGCTGACTTGGACGACTGGGACGCCCGGATGAAGAAAAAAGTGATTGATGACCTCAAGCTATAGCTAGTGCAGGTCTGCCATGCAGAGAGAGGGAGAGAGACGGGGTGGATCTTTCTTCAAATGGTCAATGAGGGCACAACAGGAGAGAGAGGACAATTGGGCAGTCAGTCAGTCAGTCAGTCGTTGGTGGGTGGATGGATGGATGGATGGATGGTTGGGTTTTGTACGTCCATGGCCAGTGTGATTCTGAGCACATCTGGGAGGGGAGGGTCCCTAGAGTGAGTGGCTAACAGACACTTGTGTGTGTGCAGTGAATGCATTTCCGGTGTCCTTTTGGATGCATCCAAAGCGGTCTGTTGATGAGGGTCGATGGAAGTCGTTTCCCACCTCCATGGACACCGTGCCGTACTTGTCTTCACCGGTTGCAACCAAACCAACGACCGCCCCCGCCACGGCTGCCAGTGGATGCGGCCTCGCCCCACACGCACCACTCTACCAACCCACCGCCCTCTATCTCACCACAAGCAAACAAACAAAGCCTATTCTGCCCCGCTCCTCTCTCGCCATGCCATGCGCCACACATGCGTCCGTGCAGCAGTCGTGGCTGTCCATCTATGCATCTATATCAATCAGTCAGACCACCGACTCGAGATAGCTGGCAAAACCTGCAGGAGCGTATGGACGGTTGAATGCATGACACAGGTCCACACACGACGGCTCAGGGGCATTCATTGTGCCATTGACCTATATACCTGTTGGGTTCTCGAGGGCGATTTGGTGGCCGCAGTCCTTCACAACGGAAACCTGGATGCGCTGACGGTTTCAACACAGACAGACAAGTGAGACAGACAGGTGTGTCTGTCTCTCTGTCTTGGCACGTGACGTGCACACACAACACACCTGAGGGTGCTGCTGCTGAAGACGCCTTGCGGGCGTCGCATCCACCCAGTCCTCAGAACCTGTATACACACACACACACACACACACACAGACACATGGCTGCACACAGAGGTTGTGCTGGTGTGCTGTTTGTCTGTGTGGCCACCGCAGCTGCGCTGACCGAATGCAAAGCAGACCTTCATCGGCAGCTCAGCAATGCATTTCTCCAACGGACGCCTGCAAAGACACAGACACAATCGGACAATGACCAATGGAATGGCGAATGGGATGGGCGATCGCTCGCTCACTTGGCGGCGAATGTTGGGTGCAGCAGCCGTGTGATGATGAAATCGCCACCAGATCTCCCGGCGTTGACGTGATAAACTGACAGACGCCACACAGATAGATACACACACACACACAAGCACTGTACGCATGGAATAGCATCAGTAGAGCTCCGCCGCCGGCCATCTTTTGCTAACTAACTGTAGTCTCTCACAGCCTTCTGTCGGTACACGGCGGCCGTCCTGTGCCCCAATATCCCCGCCAGCAACGACGGACCTGCCGACAGACAGACAGACAGACAGACATACAGACAGACACGCAGCTCCCGACGGGTGCATCGCTGCGCCGACGGACATACACTAGTACCTAGCGGCCCCAGTGACCGCATCATGGCCATCGGCGTCACGTCAAATCGCCACGCAGACCTCATGATGCCCTGGGCCACCTGTGCGATGAGCGAGGGTGGTCTCTCTGGCGGCCGCTGCTCGTCAGGACCAGGCAGAGATGGCCCGCTGTCGGGGCCTGTGGCTGTGATGGCGTCGTGCGTCGGCGAGGCGGGCTCGCTGTCTGCCGTGGACGCTGTCAGTGGGGCAGCCGGCTGTAGGCGACCTTTGGAGCCATCGATGCCTGCACCCCCCGACACAGGCAAAGCAGAAAGAGGGAGGGGCATGTATTGTTTTTGTGTGTGCTGGTGTGGTGTGGTGTGGTGTGGTGTGGTGGCCCACCGACCGACGGGGGAGAGCAGGATGAGCTTGTCGACGTTCTGCGGAAAGCGGTGCGCGTAGGCTGTTGCCAGATATCCGCCCAACGAATGGCCACACAAGATCATCCTCCGGCCGCCTCGCTTCAGCCGCCACGCCTCCAGACAATCTGACACATCCAACCAAGCCATATATACCCACAGCTGTGTGTGTGTGTGTGTGTGTGTGTTGATGACCTCCTCACCAGTGTAATAGTCTTCAATCGCATCGACCACTCGGTCCCCCTGTGTTGAGTCCCTCGCCGCGGCCCTCTCCAGCTCCCGCACCCGACGGACAAAGGAGGACGGCAGCTCGGCAGATCCGCCCATTCCTGGCCAGTCGATGGCCGATACGCTGATCCAATCATCACACCAGACACACAGACAAGACACACAGACAGCCTCAGGATTTCCTTCTGCATCTCAGCACCTTCTGGTGGGGTTCTTCGTCACGAAAGCTGCTAAGCCTCTGAAGACACGCTCTTGTGATGGCGGTCGCTGTGCGGTGGTAGTGTGTGTGGGCAGCAGAGCTCACCTTGCAAATGCCGCCAGGCCGAGGGCGTAGCCGTGGCACACCACAATGCACGATTGATTAGCTTTCGCCGCATTGCCCCCGTCACCGTCACCGGCAGCGGCCAGCGTGACGGTGTTGATGGACACCGACTCATCATCAGATGCCCCCTCTGCAGATGCAGGCGTGCACATGACATCCTCACGGTTAAAAGACAACTCATGGCCTGCACAAGGGAGGGACATTCGAGAAGCGATATGGATGTGTGTGTGTGTGTCTGTGTGTGTGTGTGGTGTGCCTGCAGAATCACTACCCACCTGCAGGTTCAGTGTCGATGGCCTCCTGCATCAACCTCGCGGCGCTATTCCGCAGCATCCCAGGTCCTGACGGCACCCACCACTTGGCCATCCCGACTCTCGCAGCCCCGAAGGCAGCGCACCGGGCTGCGATGAATAAGACAACAAAGACCAGCCGACGGGAGCCCTCACGCCACAGTGCACACATGGCTCCTCCTGCTCCACGCCATAGGCCCAAAGAAGTGGCTGTGACAGAGATCTGCAGCTCGCCCTTTCCAAGCTCGCAGCCGAGGAAGGGAGGGAAAGGAAGAAAGAACGGCGTCAGACCGAGGCGCAATGCATGCTGTCATCAAGCGGCACAAAGTTATTCATCGGCGTGCAATTCGGTGGCTCACCTCTCAAGGTCTCCTGAATGAGGACGATGCATTCCGGCTTGGCGAGGAGCTGCCCAACACTGCCGTGCGTCGGCTCTGTGGTCCTTCGGCCAGCGTCGCTTTGCTTCACGACCTCCTCGTTGACCCCGCCTTCTGCAATGTCCTCCTGCTGGCCAAGGAGCTTGGCGACGGCTCTGTTGGCCCTGTTATCGCTGTCGGCCCGTCAGATCTGTCCAACACGCCCACTCTCGCGCCGTTCAGGAACCTGATGCGGCTGCCGGATGTCAACACGCTGCTGATTGCGCCCGCTGAGGTGCTCGAGAAGGACACAGCAGACGGTGCCTTCTCGAGCTGTGTGGTGGTGGCCGGGCCGGACAGAATCGTGCGGTCAAAGAGGAGCTATCCGATGGGCGAGTGGAACGTGATGGAGAGGGAGACTCTGGCCACAGTCCAGACGATTCAGGTCAGCAGATGCCCACCCACTGCATCGTTGATGGTTGGTGTGTGACGGTTTGGTTTCATTCATTCTTCTCTCAGTCGTGGTGGCGTGTGCATCTGAGCCATCGTCTGCGCGCGTGTGGATACTGCCGGCGGGAGCTGGGGCGCACCTACATATGCAGCACGTGCCATCAGACCAACAGAATGCAACAATGACAAGAGGGAAGACAGAATGGCCAGCGGCACCACGATGGGATGGGGGAGTGGACGGACGCACTCACCAGGCGAGCTCGAGCCTGCAAAGGGGTAGTAACAGCACTGTGTGTATGTGTGTGTGTGTGTGTTGCTGGTGCCCTTTTCTGTGTGTCGGTGTCTGTCGAGAGTGCAGTGGAAGATGAGGTGCTTCGTGGTCGTTGATTTGACGATATTTGTCGCAGTGCTGTCGTCCGTCCATCTGTATATGCGCTTGGCTGTCTGTTGGTGCATCTGACTGAGACCACTATCTATCAATCAACCAATTCGTCATGCCTGGCCTGCTCTTTGCCACCCACACACCCCTGACCGACCACCCACACCCACACCCACGCACAGCAGCGTTACATCTCATTCATCCGAGTAATCGACAAACAGAGCTTTCCACACGACCTCACCCGGCCCGACCAACACGCCGAAAAAGAAAAACAGCATACGGCGCAAAACCCCAAAAATAAAGAAAACGGCAACGCAGCGCTCCACAGCGTCTGTGTGTGGCTTCACTCGTCGTCTTGCACGCCACATTTCATGTTTGCGGGAACAGCCTGACGCACACACACACACACACACGCATTCTGGTTCACATTGATTGCTGGATGGGGGGTAGATGCCAGCCACACCTACCACATCGATTCTGGCAGGTTTAGGCAGATTGAGGTTTTTCATGATGTTGACGAACTCGTCCTCCCCCTTGATGAGACGCGTGTTGTGCAGCCGCTCCTCCCACACCGTCGTCACCTGACGACCCTGCACTCACCAGGCAAATCCATCCATCCATCCATCCCACACACACATTGTCTTGTTGACCTTGTAGTCGTGTCCGGGGTAGAGTCTGCAGTGTGCGGGGAGGCTGAAGATCTGCCCCCACACACTCTTGTACAGCAGGGCGGCATCGCCACTCTGCAAACCAAACGACAACAAACGAACGACATGGAAAGAAGACGGTGCGGTGCAGGGCGAGGGGGCATCCCACCTGGAAGTCGGTGCGGCCGCAGCCGCGGATGAGCAGCGCGTCGCCTGTGAAGGCCATGCTGTGGTCGTCCAGGACGAACGTCAGGCAGCCGCCTGCACACACCACACACACCACACACGCGCCATCCATCCATTCATCCATCTGGGTTCGGCATGTATGTGTTGCATTCATTCCTCTCGTCCAGCCCACCGGTGTGCCCCGGTGTGGCCCTCACTTCGACGAAGCGGTCGCCGAAGTAGATGCAGTCGCCGTGCTTGACCTTGACGTCGGCCTTGGCGCCCTCATACGTGGCACTCAACACCGAACAGAAACCTGAACGCAGCATACAAGCGTCCCTCCCTCCCTCTCCCTCTCTCTCTCTCTTTCTCTGTGCGTGTGTCTGACCGTCCAGTTTTGTCTTCATCATGCCTGTGGAAGTGATGTGGTCGGCGTGGCAGTGGGTGTTCATGGCGTACTTGAGCACCAGCCCATACTCGTCGATCATCTCCAGGTCACGGTCCAGGCACTCTAGCACCGGATCGATCAGGACGGCGTCGCGCGTCTTGGGGTCGGCCAGCAGGTACGTGTAAGTGCACGACTCACGGTCAAACAACTGCGCGAAGGCAAGGCGTGTGTGCAGAGAGAGAGCGGCGCAGCACCGGTGTGTGTGGTGCACCAACCTGTCGGAAGAAGAGATTCGGATCTTCACGTGCCAGGTTCTGGCAACGGGCGACCAGAAAATTCTGATACACCGAAACATCGCCAGGCACCAAATGAAGCTTCCCGAGTCAAGCAATCATGACGGACCTTGACCCAGTCAACCAGTATCTGGTTCTCGAGGAAGGGCAGGCCCTTCTCCTTGGCCCACTCGATGGCCTCGTCGGGCGCCATCCACTGGTCGCGGCTGCCTGGCCCGTGGTGCTGTTCGGCCGCATCGGGGGGATGGGTGGCGATGTGCAACATGGCCACGGAGGACGCCCGCCACTTCGACTGGCACTGCACCGGCCACACACAGAAACACAGGTGGAATGCAGCATCTCACAGGGGCAAAGTGTGCTCATGTGGGTGGTGAGGTGACCTGGATGAGTGTGGGGAGAGGGGCGCTCTCCAGGGTGGCGAGCAGGCGCGCAGCCAAGGCGTATGACAGCTTCCCCTTGTCCACTGCATTCACACACACCAGCCTTTTCTCTGCCACCATTCCCCCCTGAGGCTCCCTCCCTGCTCCCTCCCTCACCATGCGCCTGGACGCATGGCACTTTGCACTTTTTGTCAGTCGGCAACCGACACACCTCAGCGGGCCTGCATGGAAGCCGACAACAAGAGATAGATACGCCCCACTTGTTTGTCCCACACCTTGCGAGAAGGCGCCGAGTGCAGTGCACCTTACTTACCCACACAGATTGATGACCGAGCGGTACTTGCCATTGACCACCAGGTCGTGCAGCTTCTCCTGCGTCTCCACAGCACCTATGAGGTCGAAATCCTGCACACATCAACACACAGGGGCACTCACTGATTCAGAGAGCTCGAGCAGCGAGCATCGGTCAGATCCACACATGGTGATGTGCTCCTTCTTGCCTTGGTGACTGTTGTAGGGCAGTGGGTGGGGACGTCAGAGCCCTCCCCTTCGCAGCAGACGACAGGCTGAATGAACAGAACAGTGTCACGAGCGTAGAGCTGACGTGAGGTCTGCTGCGACGTGCAGGTCTCTCTCAGTGCTCTTTCTCACCTGGGTACTCATCGCGTGCACAGAGGAGGCTGTTTGCGTTCAAGAGAGGCGAGAGAAGCACCACCGAACACACGAAATGTCACGATTGAGTGACCCAAGGAGGCCTGGGTGATGTAAACACATGCAATTGATGTCATGGGGGCAGACCCTCCGAGACGCGAGTCCCACCTGGTCCTTTCTGCCCGCTCAGACAATGCTCTCGACATCCAATCAGATTCTGCTCATCCCCTTTACCGTTCTCGTCACCCTCGGTTCCCTTCATCATGCCGATGGCGACACCTGCAAGGTGGATTATGGTGTCGCCATGACGAACGAGGCTCGTGTCGGTTTCAGTGCCGGCAGACATGCTCGGACGTCCTCTGTCCACTCTATCCGGCACTGGCACGAGACGACGGTGTTGGGCTGTCCGCCTGGCGCCACGTGCGTCGTCAATTCGTTGACCATGCTGGAGATGAAAATCTTGGGCACGGAGGTCACCACTCCGCTGGGGACGGGCGAGTGCCGCACTCACCGCCAGGCCTTCAGTAAGCCGTGCGAGTCGCCCCGGCATTACGTCGACGGCCATGCGACCTGCATTGCGCCTGAGACGGTGAGGCGGTGAGACAGCCAGCATACGGGCCCTGAGATGAATGTGTCTCATTGCAGAACGTCGCTGGGTACGGCAAGACGGGCGAGACACCCTTGAGCATCCAGCACGGGACTGTGCTGGACGTGTTCCCCGGCCACTCGATGTGGCACGGAGAGCCAGGCAAATCGGAGCCACTCTCCGAGTCAGGGACGTCGACCCAGGCGGAGACGAAAGGTCAGACAGATAGAGGAACGGACACACACATCAGGGAGGGAGGGAGGGAGGAAGGACACACGCATCTGTCGCTGTCTGTCCTGACTTGGCGACTGCAGCTGTCATGAAACCGGCACCGAAGAAGATGCCGCCCCCGCCCAAGCCAGCACCCGCACCAGCACCCGTCGAGAGGGCCCCCTCACCCGAAGGCATCCTCAAGCGGGCCACTGACAAGCAGAAGAAGGCGGTCAAGCCGAAACTCGGATTTGCCGACGAGGTTGAGGTCAAGGAGTTTGACAAAAAGGAGAAGGTCGAAGACCTTCGGGACACAGGCGTGTACACGAAGGCGATCAAAGACGAAGAGGAAGACGACGACGACGACGACGAGGAGGAGGAGGAGGAGGAGTGGGGAAAAGACGACGAGTAGACGACGCAGTGAGAGTTTGATGGCACGGCAGCCGACAGACAGACGAACAGCCAGCCCCATTCATTGAGACGGTGCACTGCATGCTCATGGAAACCTGACTGACGGGGATCGAAGACTTGTATGTATTTGCGTTCACGTCAAGTGTCTGTCTGTCGGTATTGTGTGTGGGCCTCTCTCCTCTCTCACGACGGACGGACGAGACAGCACAGCACCTCTTGATCTCACGCAAACACACACACACACACACACGCAGCAGCAACCTCATTGATTGACACACATCCACTCACGACAGACACGGCACACGTCTCGGGCCGGCCACTATCATCCGGCCTTCTCGGCCACAGAAGCGGCAGCACCTGACAGACACATGGCCATGACACACGCACACACACATAAATGGCATGGCAGCAGTGCATGGCAGCAGTGGCAGGCTGCTTGGCCCTCAGCCAGCCAGCCAGCCACAAGGACGGACGGACGTGTGTGTCGTACGCTCACCCGGTGGGATATAGAAAGGCCCACTCTTGGCATACGTCTCGAGCACAGACAAGAAGCCCTCATCTGCAGCAAGCCGGCCAGGCAGCCACACACACCCAATATGACTGACACCTATGCCTATGCGTGTGTGTCCATCTGTCTAAGCGCTTACCGACGAGCGTCGGCAGCCAGGCTTCATGGTGCGACACCAGGGAGGACACCCACTCGTGCTTGGCGTACTTGCCTGTGGCCACCACACACACACACACACAGAGACAGAGAGAGAGAGGAGGGCCCGCCCGTCAGGAGGCATCATGCCTGTGTGTGTGTCTGGTTCGCAGGTTCGCACCGAATTTGTCTTGCTCTGAGTGCCAGTCGACCAGCAGATTTCGGGCATCCTGCAGGACAGGAGGCAGCACACGGCACACACCACACCCAGTGAGTTGATTAATTGGGGCGTGTGGCTGTGTGTCTGACTGACCTCGCTGCTGCAGACCGCCCGGGCAGTGAACTTGAACTGACTTAAGGCTGACAGAGACAACACACAGACAGCAGACAAACCGGCAAAGATGGAGGGTGTCTTCGTCTCATGTCTGTGTGGGTGTGTGTGGGTCGACCTGCGAGAAGGCGGTATGCGTGTGGCCGAATGTCGGCGAAGGGCATGACCAATGCCGCATCCAACACCTGCACACACACACTCCCATGTGCTGTCTGTCTGTCTTCAGCCGTGCTCTCACCTTTGGCAGCAGGTCGTCCGAGACCTTCGCCATCAGCGCATCCGACAGTGGATCACTGCACAAACAAAAGAAAAATCAGAGAGAATGGGTGAGTCTCTCTCTCTCTCTCTCTCTCGCCACGTGTGTGTGTATGGGTGTGGGCTGTGGCTCTGACTGACCCCTCGAGCACTTTGGTCCACGCCGCCATGGCCGCCTTGCAGATCTCACTGTCGACCCCGTGGCGGACAGCATGGATCAGCTGCACACACACACACACATCGATGGGATCTTTCAACTCAGCTCAGTTGCCCATGTGTGTGTGTGTGTGTGTGTGTGGCGCATACGTCATCGACAGTGTGTGGCATGGCGCGGCTGATCTGCTCGCGGCCGCTGGCACTGATGCAGATGTCGCCCCAGGCGTTGATCCCACAGAGCTGAGCCACACACACACGCACACACACACACACAGGCACACGAGGCAGGCAATTCTGGCAACACATGAGGGAGGGGTCTGTGGTGGTGGCTGCACTCACTGACCCTCTGTGTGGTCCAGTTGTGGCGAGACGTCGGCACACTGAGGAACTCCTGGATCTGCTCCGCCATGGCGCTGTTGGCCTCGCTGAAGATGCTCTTCGCCTGATCCGGGGCCTGGTACACACACACACACGCGTGCAAACATAATTAATGGTGATCTGCCTGCAGGTGTGGCCGCACCTACTACTCAACGCACCTGGACGATGATGTTGGCCAGCAGCCGGACGAGGCTCATCTTGGCGTTCTCGTCAGCCAAGGGGTCGCGGAGCTCTCTGCAGACAGACACGTGGGGAAAGGAACGTCTTGTGCTTTGTTGTGCTGCGCTGTGCTGTCCGTTAGTGGCAGGTGGTGCCGCGTGCCTGGCGAGCTTGAGGGGTATCTGCGCCCTAGCCATGTACCTGGCGCCATGTGGGAAACTCCCAAGCTGACCACACACACACACACACACATGCCAGGGGTGCGTGTGGTGTGATGTGTGTCTGTCTGTCTGTGTGTGTGTGTGTGTGTGCAGCTGACCTTGTCCATGAGTTCAACGGCGATGAGCTTGATGAGCAGGTCGTCGGTGAAGTACTCCTGCAGCACCAGCTCGTACAGACCTACACACACACAGACACACACAGACACAGACGGGCAAACAGGCGTACAGAAGGAAGGCACACACCCACGCAGGCAGGCAGGCAGGCAGCTAGTCGGCCGTGTCGTGGCCTCACCCCGTTCCTCGCACTTGTCGAATGTCGTCTCGGACACCGATCCCAGCGACACGAACAGATCCAAGATGCGCAGGCGGGTCTCCTGATCAATGGCACACACACACACACACACACACTCGGGCATGCTCGCGGCTCCTCTCTCTTGCCGCTCACGTCTCTGGCCGTCTTGATCTTGTCCAGCAGCCAGTCCAGCAACCCGCCTTCAAAGAAGCTGTCCGACCCTGCAGCCGAGCCCACCATTTTGACAATGGCATCCAGCGCCCTCTCGGCCACCCCTGTGTCGCGGTCCAGAACCAGCACCCCCAGCAGCTTCGCCAGACCGAGCGACACAAACCGCTCCATAATGTTGTCGACATCAGCGCCATCCTCTGTGGCCTTGTCGTCCCCCATTGGCTCGTCAACGTCGGTGTCGACGGCCATGGGCCTCGGCCGGGTGGCGAGGGAGACCAGGTCGCCCAGCTTGGCCACCAGGATGCGCCGCAGGTTTGTCTGCTCGGCCGACGCCGCCATCTGCAGGAACGGCTGGAACTGACACACAAACACAAACACAGAGAGAGAGAGAGGAGGGAGAGAAAGGGCCGCATTCATTCGTCGCGCACTTGAGAGACTCACCGGTTCTTCCAGGAGCTGCAGCTTCATGTCGTCCAGAAGAAAGATTTGATCAATCACACGCATGAGCAGGTCGGTCTCTTCGCCCCTCTGGTGGTGCTGCTGCAGCTGCTGAAACAACTCCAGCAGGGAGGTCTGCAGAGGACAATGAGTGCTGTCATGGAGTGCGATGCCTTGTCAGTGACGGTCTTTCTTACGTGCTGGAACAGCTCATTGATGGCTGCGTGAATGTCCGGCTGCAATGACAGGAAACAGGAAAACCACACGTGCAGGCAGGCAGGCAGGCATCAACACATGGCAGATGGGCCTCTGCTGCCGTTGCTGCTGCTTGTGCTTCTGCTTCTGCTTGTGCTTGCAGTTCTCTGTCTGACATTGCCTCACCTCTCCCATGAATCTCTCCAACTGTCCCATCGACACAGTGCGGCTCGGCGAATCCATGACGACTCAACAGCAGTGATCTGTGGTGGAAAGAACGTCTTGCTGCTGCTGGCACGCACTCGTGCTGCTGGCAACTCCTCAATGCACCGCTTCCGCTCTGCCTTTCTCTGCGGGCCAAGCTCGCAGTTGAGGCGCGCCCGAGTCGCATTTTTGTGTGGTTGAGAGGCCGGCGCGATGGCTCTGCGTCGGTCTTTGGTTCTGCTGATGCGTCGGACGATGATGCTGCTGGACCCCAAGGTGCTGAGCAAGCTGCCGACGCCCACCCCGCCGCCCGGCACCGGTGTGGTCTTCCACGCCAGAATGCAGGCCATCAAGTACAGCATCGAGAACCCCAGGTGGTACTGCCTGCTGATCTCCGGCAGCCTGGGGGTGTACAGCGGCAACTGGGTGTTCAAGGAGTTTGTGATGCGCAAGAACCCGCCCAATCCCCGCCCGGACCCCACGCAGCGCCCGCCGCAAAGACACCCGCACACCGTACTGGAGGAGGTCAGCTGAGCCGCACACACGGGGCACGAAAGAGGGACGGCTGATGAGAGTGTGTGTGTGTGTGTGTTGTGGCCTGGTGTGTGTGCAGGACGAAGAGGACGATGACGACGACGAGTGAATGCCGTCATGGCACGGCACATGGGTGGGTGCGTGGGTGATTCACTGGGTGGGTGGGTTGATGGTGTGGGGTGTGGACGGTGCTGGCTTGGTTTCAACTCAACTTGCAAGGAAGAGGCGGGATTTTTTCCTGTGTTGGTATGAGTGGATTGTGTATGGGATGCGACGAGAGATCTGAGCAGTGAGTGTGCAGTGCACAAAGATAGAGCTGTTTTGCGATGCTCCCTTGGCTTTGCTTCTGCTGCTGTGGGTCGGTGCTTTCGTCCGCCCCGATGGCGACGGTGTGGCGAACGTCACTGCAGGCGCTAGTGAGCGATTTGCGGTGATGTTGTTGGCCGATGTCGTCGGGCCGGGCATAGGCATCGGCGGGCAGCACAGAAACAGGCGGGGCAAGATACGACTGACAGACGAACAGACAGACAGACAGGGGATGTCAGTCTCATTTCATTGTCCTGGCCGATATGATGCCCCGCGCTCTTCTCACGCTGCCTGCTTTCCTAATGGCATTGCGGATGTGGTCGGAGGATCGTTCTGCCCGGCGTGAGCAGAGCGGTCTGCCGGCGGCGGCTGCTGCGCGAAGAGAAACGGTGGCGGGGGAGGGAGGGGCGCACTGAATTGTAGCTTGTTTTCCGTCCTACTCCTGGCTTTCCTGCGTGTACGTTTCGCTTCCTTTGCTGTGTGTGGTGCCCTGCCTGCTTCTGGCGCATTGGGCCGACTGCAGGCCAACACTCCCGTTGGCACGATGCCTGAGAATCTGGTATGGTGCCACACACACAGAGAAGGGAGCAGGGAAGATCGCGAGGGCTCTCTCTCTCTCTGGTGGTGTCACTTGTACCTACTTGATGATGTGGTGCAGTGCTCGAGTGAGAGCACTGAAGTGGGTGGTGGCGCGGTGGACTGACTGACTGACTGACCTGTTTGCCGCGGATGGATGGACTGGCTGAAATGCCTGGATGACCACTGAGGCCGTCTCGAATGACGAACGTGTTTGTGTGGCCGGCAGTGTGTGAGCTGTGTGTGTGAGTGAGACGACGAAGACGACAAGACAGACCACTGTCCACTCGTTGACATATCACTCATCACCTGTTCGACACACATACATTGTCTGTCTGTCTGCGCAGCATCAATTCGCTCCATCGTCACTCGTCGTTGTGACGGAACGCTAGTACAGCAGGCACGGCACACACGGCAGACGGTCCTCCTCCACCATCCAGCGGCACGGCCCAGACAGACAAAAGCACAAATACCCACTCAAGCAGGGAAGGAGGGAGGGAAGAGCATTCAGTCACCCGCCCGCACACGTGTGTGTGCACCACAGGCAGGTATTGGAAAACTTCATTCGGCCCTTCCCGCCCGCCCAGCCACCCGCCCGCCCAGCCACCCGCCCGCACGCCCGCACGCACTGTACTTATTGTACACACCCAACCAAAACCCAAACACGGCCACCCCACCCCCTGTCTCATGCGTCTGTGACGCCCATGACGCCCTGCCCACCCACATACATACACACTCAATCTCTCACTCACACCAGTCAGCCGTCAGCCCCCCTCCCTCTGTCCACCCACAGCCACCCTCGAGCGGCCCTCGCTCAGCCCCTCACCGTCACCGCCACCACCACCGGCCCCACTCCCACTGCCCAGCAGCAGCGCCACATAGGGTCCCTCCTGCTGCTGCATCTGCATCTGCTGCCCGACGGCCACCATCGTCACCGACCTGTGTATGGGAATGTCGCTGCCCAGACAGGCGTAGACGAGCGCACCGATCAGGTATAGCACCACCGCGACGTTGAAGACCAGGGACCAATTGGACTCGGTCGACGAGGCGGGGTATATCTTGAGGTCCAGGAGGTACTGCGTCGCCACGTTGCCGAAGATGCCGGGGAGGGTGGCCAGGGTATTGCTGACGCCCATGAGCTGACCTGCAGTGAGCACAGATGGACAGACAGAGAAACAGAGGCATGAAAGATGTCATCGCCATTGGGCCGCTTCCCCTTCCCGCCGGCTCCCGCTGTGCTTGCCTGCGTGATGTGGCGCTATGTCGATCATGTTGGTCCTGCAGCCAGCCGCAGACACACCGAGACACATACACACAGACAGACAGACATATCTTTGTGTGTGGCTATCACACACACGACCGTACCAAAAGCCAGCAGTGGCCATCCTAACGAAGAACAGCGCACAGGCAAGGTATGTCAGCGCCTGCGTGGCATCCCTCGCCACGTTGCCGGCACAGAAGAGAAATATCGCCCCCCCGCCCAGCCCCAAGCCCGTCATCAGTTTCCGGACATCTCTTAGCCGAAAGTGCGCTCTCACCAGCAGCCAGTCGGCGACCGAGCCCGCCAGCACCATTCCCAACGCCGCACACACGTAAGGGCTCGCAGCGAGCAGCGAGTGGCTCGCGAGGTCCAGGTGGAACTGCTCTGTGAGGTACTTGGGCAGCCACGACAGCAGGACGTACCAGCCGTAGTTGAAGGTCATGTGGGCGATGTAGATGGCCCAGCAGGAGGGGGTGAGGAAGAGCTGCTGCCAGGTGAGGGGCGAGTGGGGCTGGAAGAAGCTCGCCGTTGATGTGAGCGCGGTCTCTAGACCCTCGCCCTCTATCCTGGACCGACCCAGACGGATGTAGCTCTTCTCACGCCTGCATGGCAACCAACCAACCAAATTCTCCGTGATGGTTCGAACGCCCGCCCCCCCCC